GTTTGTCTCATTGTTGCTGCTCTAGTGCCCCTGTTGTTCATTTCCATCCTTTGCCTGTCCATATTTGTATAGATTTCTAACTTTTTTTTCACATTGAAATATGATGTGTTCCCTTAATTTTTTGAGCAGTATAATATCATCAACTCTCAGTGGAGTCTCTCAGAGATCTCAATTATTATTATTAATATATTATTAGTATTGAAGAAAACTGAGGTACCCAATAGCAGTCACATGCTGTCGGGCCCAGCAGTTTTTTTGTTTATTGTTTTTTTTTTTTTTTTTTTTTTTTTTTTTTTAAACCAAAATAACAATAGATCACGTCTGAATCTTATGTGTTTCACAAATTAAGAAAATAAGGCTGGAGAAGGACATGTGTCACAGTGGACCTGGACCCGTGGAAGTGAAAACAGGATAGACTGGAGCAATGAGTCAGGAGAATAAAGACGACTCACACATCACTCTACATATATCGGAGGGTAAGGCTCTAAAATGTTGATTTTGCAGAATAGGCCTGACCTCATCTCTGCTGTAAGAATGTTTATTTATGTTTTGTCCAATTAAAGGTGCACTGTGTAACTTTCTGATTGGGAGTCTGTCACCTTCTTGTTTCTATGGATATGTCATTGTTCTGCCAGGTATGTTCCACAATGTGACATTAAACATTATTGGAGCGACAGTGGCTCAGTGGTTAAAGCAACGATCCCCTGACCCGAAGGTCACAGGATTCCTGCTCAGACCAAGTTCTGTTGTTGTGTGCTTAGGCAAGACACTTCCCCTGCATTATTATTATTATTATTATTATTATTATGGCAGCCAAGACAGCCCCACAACACCCAGATACTCAGGACAGATCTTATCCACCTCTGGAGCCTCAGAGGAGCTTTAACCACCTGAGAGACTTCAGCCAGAGTGACGGACGAGTCTTTCTCTGAGCCCCCATCCTCTGAACCCCCATCCTCTAAGCCCTCAGTCTCTGAACCCCCAGTCTCTGCTACTACAGTCCCTGACAAAAGTCTTGTCACTTATCCATTTTGTAGAAACAAAAGCTTATAACCTGACTTTAAATGAATTGATTGGTTTTAGAAATGTCTCATATGAAAGCTAAAACCCTCCCAAATTATGCTCAATATACTAAAATAAATTTGCTTCACTGAAGAAAGATTGATCATTTAATGAAGACAGAAAGGTCAGATTTTGGCAAGACAAAAGTTTTGTTGCCTACAGAAAATTGAACAAATAATTTACTTCAAATACAAAAATATGTTGCATAACGTCAGTGAATGAAGTAGTGGTGCTGTGAGATCCATATTTAATATCTTGTATGACTTCCAGGAGCTTGAAGGACGCATCCATGCGGTTCAACAATGATTCATACAATTTGTTGATGAAGTCATCAGGAATAGCAAAGAAAGCGTCTTACATGCCTCCCAGAGTTCATCAAGATTCTTTGGTTTTGCCTTCCATGCTTCCTCTTTCATTCTACCCCAGACATGCTCAATGATGTTCATGTCTGGTGACTGGGCTGGCCAGTCCTGGAGCACCTTCATCTTCTTCGCCTTGAGAAACTTTGATGTAGAGATAGAAGTATGCGATGGAGCACCATCCTGCTGCAAAATTTGACCCCTTTTATGGTTGGGAATGTAAGAGGAGCTAATACTTCTTGATATTTTAGGCTATTGATATTTGCCTTCCACCCTGCAAATGTCTCGCACACTCCCATACTGGATGGAACCCCAGACCAGGATTTTTCCACCACCAAACTTAACTGTTTTCTGGGTGAATCTTGGATCCATGCGGGCTCCAGTAGGTCTCCTGCAATATTTGCGGCGGCTGTGATGTAATTCAACCGAGGATTCATCTGAGAAATCCACCTTCTGCCACTTTTCCAGTGTCCATCCTTTTAGCAGGCTGTGGGCCTTGGCAAATGCCACACAGTTTTTTTTATTGCCTTTTGTTTAGTGCTGGTTTCTGTGCACTGATTCGACCATGGAGGCCATTTTGAGACAGAATTCTACAAACTGTTGTGGTTGACACAGGGACTTGAGGTGACCAGGTCTGGTGGAGTCTGCTGCAGTGGAAAAGGGGCTGGCCTTGGATTTTCGAATCAACAAACGGTCCTCCCGAGCAGTTGTCTTGCGGGGTCTGCCAGACCTGGGCTTGTCAAAAACATCTCATTTCAGATCTTTTTCTTATTCTTTGTACTTGACGCTGAGACACATTGAAGGTGTCACCACCTCAGCAGTGGATCTGGTCTTCAGCCTCTTGATAATTAACGCTTTGGTCTCAGGGTGGATCTTAGGCATGTTGTCAGAGGTCAAGTTGCAGTTGATGTGAAGGTCTGGTGTGCTGGGGTTCTTTTTATACACACCCACTAATTGATTGATCAGTAACTGATCACAGGTGAGGCTGTAATCTAGGATTGGGTGCATCATATGACAAGGCGACAAGACTTTTGTCTTGCCAAAATCTGACCTTTCTGTGTTCATTAAATGATCAATCTTTCTTCAGTGAAGCAAATTTCTTTTAGTATATTGAGCATAATTTGGGAGGGTTTTAGCTTTCATATGAGACATTTCTAAAACCAATCGATTAATTTAAAGTCAGGTTATAAGCTTTTGTTTCTACAAAATGGATAAGCGACAAGACCTTTGTCAGGGACTGTACATTCTAGAGTTTACACTGTAACAGTTTTGGTGAATCTCTGCTCCTCCCTCCTGAGGCGTTGGACAGTTTACCAGAGCTGGAAAACAAGCGGTCCAGTTTGTGTATGGGTGCTTTTAGACATGAGGCAGAGTAAGCTCTGCGCTTCGGAAGAACTGAAGTTTGTGTTCTGTCTGGATGTAAATTTTTTGTAAGACTCCCACAAACAGTGTCATAGATGAAGTTACAGAGCTCAGACTGAACTCTGAAATTATAGTTGTTTGACGAGGACACTGAACCTGCCCCATCCTGTCTGTGTCACTGTGTATCGAAAACTATGTGAGTAATGCTGAGCGTCAGGCTGTGCAGGAGCATCCACATTTACACCTGTGTCAGATCAGACCACACCCAGCAGAGGGAGGAGCCACACTGTAGCACTGTGACTCAAGGAGCAGGCCTAAAGGAGCCATCTATACAGAGCCACCTCCAGCCTAACAGGTGATAGCACTTTACCTGGCCCGTTTCACTGTATGGCTATGTGGCATTTATTCGATTACAAAACATGTGTGCGTAGTCACCTTTCCACAGACCTGATCTATAACTTGGAGACACTTGCTGTCACCATGGAGACACATTGCCAAAGTTAGAGATGGTGAACAGATGGTAGACCAGAAAAGTGACAGGGCCTATAACAGCCTACAATTTAAGATATAGTTGTAAGTATATAAGTGTGGAAGTATAATTATGTAGCTCTTCTTTTCCACACTACACACGCTCTATTTCCCTTCAGTAGGTTAACAGTAGGCTATACAGTCGTATATTTGGTAGAAGTGATGTGGAGGTGTACACAGCTCTAGTCTCTATAAGGGGGATTTATTATGTATGCCTAAGGTGTGACCAGACACTCACACTCACAGAGCACAAGTCCCTCCAGCCCAACACCCCAGCCCCCCTCCAGCCCACACTCCGCTCCTCCAGCCCACCCTGTGTCTGCTGCTATCTGCTGGAGGAAGAGGGAGCGACACGGGAGGAAGAGGAGCGGTATAGAGTAAGTCAAAAGTTTTGACACTGACGCGCGGGGAACTATGAACCTACATGCCCCTGCTTCTGTAGTACTTGTACTAATAGTAGTAGACTTGTACTAATAGTAGTAGTGTAGCCTACTACTACCGGACGGGACTCCTACTGTACGTCTTCTGTAACGTCAGGTCGGGCACTAGGACCTGATCCGTGCGCTCCGCCCCGTGTACAGTATGGAGTGTACAGCTGTGGGCCGTGGGCAGGGCGCGGGGCAGGCGCGGGGCAGGGCGGGGCAGGAGAGCTGAGGTGTAGGGAGCCGTGGCCCAACTCAGTGCGCAGTCCGGGCACTCTTCACTTGTCCCTCCGCTCTGTCTGTCCTCCGTGTCCCCGCTGCTGCAGGTAAGTCCCGCTGCTCTGTGGAAATGTGAGCTCTGGTTTTGTTGACACGGATTCGTGTGCGCAGCGTCACCAGCCACGCTCTGGACACTTTCCGTGAGGCCTCGGTGTTTAGTTTGTCTGGTTTCTGGCTGTGTAGCCCGTATTGAACTAACTATGTGTGAAATGATTGTGTCATAAACTTCTTTTGTAGAAAATCCACCAAAATGTATCTTGGCAGACAGCTCCTGGGAGGCATCATATCCGCCATCAGGTGAGTGCCTCTCCTGTTCCTGACCGAGAAAAAGTGCGAGAGGTAAACAAACACAGATCCATGACAAACAAGCATTTACCGGAGAATTTCCTGTTTCTGCAACCAAAGCTGAACATGGGCTCTCCACAGGGCGCAGCAGTGAGGATGAGGATCTAGGTTATTAGAAAATAGAAACCAGCACAAAGTTTGAACAAGGCTTATATAAAACAGCACGTCAGAGGAGAAGTGTACTGCGCTGTGGCTGCTGTTTCTTTGTCTGCATTGACCGGCTCATAATATGACATTTGATTGATCTGTTTGTTTAATGACCAGGTCAAGTACAAACTTTTTTATTGTAACGATTCTAAATATGTTTTTATTATGAAGAATTGATAATAAACTTTTTGAACTTGAACTTGAACCTACTGTGAGCAGAGTCACCCCTCCACAGATCTGATCTATAACTTGACTTGGTGGCCAAACCTGCTCTCCATGGAGATAGATATGTATAATGCCATACTGTGGAACATCTCCATGGAGACTTGCAAGTGCCGTTCACAAAGTCTGCTTAAATAAAGCTGCAAATGCATCTGCCCCTGGGAGTAACGCAGAGTACAGGACTTCTGTTGTTGCCATGGTGACAATAATCAAGAATCATGTAAAACTGGTGCTTCTTCTCACTGCACTGGACCCTAGACATGACACACTGTAGATGTGGTCTACTGTGAAACTGCAGTACCATCACACACCTACATGGACATTACTAATGTGAATACAGCCTTCTGTAGTAGTATGGTAGTACTGTGAGTGCAGTAGTACTGTGTAGTGACTCACTGTTGTTTCTTTGTAGTAACTTCGACCCTGCAGACTTCAGACCCTCAGACCCTGTGAGTATCACACAGGACACTTCACTGGATTCTGTGTACACATGTCTCTGGTCCCCTCTGTCCTCTGGGCCCCTGGTTCCCATGTCTCTGGTCCCCTGTCCCCTTTCCTCTGGTCCCCATGTCTCTGGTCCCCTGTCCCTTGTCCTCTGGTCCCCATGTCTCTGGTCCCCTGTCCCCTGTCTCCTGTCCTCTGGTCCCCATGTCTCTGATCCACTGTGTCCTCTGGGCCCATGGTCCCCATGTCTCTGGTCCCCTGTCCCCTGTCTCCTGTCCTCTGGTCCCCATGTCTCTGGTCCCCTGTCCCCTGTCTCCTGTCCTCTGGTCCCCATGTCTCTGGTCCACTGTGTCATCTGTGCCCCTGGTCCCCATGTCTCTGGTCCCCTGTCCTCTGTCCTCATGTCCCCTCTCTGTAGACATCCTCATGTGTGACACATGTCCCTGTTGGGTGCAGCCTCCTCCACGCAGACCCCTCAACTTTGCTGAGACCCATGAGAGCGATGAGGAGAAGAAGTTCAGACTGACCTTCCAGCAGCTCGCTGGAGATGTGAGTACAACACAGTACACACTGTAGTACACACTGTAGTACACACTGTAGTATACACTGTAGTACACACTGTAGTATACACTGTAGTACACACTGTAGTACACACTGTAGTATACACTGTAGTACACACTGTAGTACACACTGTAGTATACACTGTAGTACACACTGTAGTATACACTGTAGTACACACTGTAGTACACACTGTAGTACATATTGTAGTACATACTGTAGTATACACTGTAGTACATACTGTAGTACATACTGTAGTACATACTGTAGTACACACTGTAGTATACACTGTAGTACATACTGTACTACACACTGTAGTACATACTGTAGTACATACTGTAGTATACACTGTAGTATACACTGTAGTACATACTGTAGTACACACTGTAGTACATACTGTAGTATACACTGTAGTACACACTGTAGTATACACTGTAGTACACACTGTAGTACACACTGTAGTATACACTGTAGTACACACTGTAGTACACACTGTAGTACACACTGTAGTACACACTGTAGTATACACTGTAGTACACACTGTAGTACACACTGTAGTACACACTGTAGTACACACTGTAGTACATACTGTAGTACATATTGTAGTACATACTGTAGTATACACTGTAGTACACACTGTAGTACATACTGTAGTACATACTGTAGTACACACTGTAGTATACACTGTAGTACACACTGTAGTACATACTGTACTACACACTGTAGTACATACTGTAGTACATACTGTAGTATACACTGTAGTATACACTGTAGTACATACTGTAGTACACACTGTAGTACATACTGTAGTACACACTGTAGTACACACTGTAGTACACACTGTAGTATACACTGTAGTACACACTGTAGTACACACTGTAGTACACACTGTAGTACACACTGTAGTACACACTGTAGTATACACTGTAGTACACACTGTAGTACACACTGTAGTATACACTGTAGTACACACTGTAGTACACACTGTAGTACACACTGTAGTACATATTGTAGTACATACTGTAGTATACACTGTAGTACACACTGTAGTACATACTGTAGTACATACTGTAGTACATACTGTAGTACACACTGTAGTACACACTGTAGTATACACTGTAGTACATACTGTACTACACACTGTAGTACATACTGTAGTACATACTGTAGTATACACTGTAGTATACACTGTAGTACATACTGTAGTACACACTGTAGTACACACTGTAGTATACACTGTAGTACACACTGTAGTGCACACTGTAGTACATATTGTAGTACACACTGTAGTATACACTGTAGTACACACTGTAGTATACACTGTAGTACACACTGTAGTACACACTGTAGTATACACTGTAGTACACACTGTAGTACACACTGTAGTACACACTGTAGTATACACTGTAGTACACACTGTAGTACACACTGTAGTACACACTGTAGTATACACTGTAGTACACACTGTAGTACACACTGTAGTATACACTGTAGTACACACTGTAGTACACACTGTAGTACATATTGTAGTACATACTGTAGTATACACTGTAGTACACACTGTAGTACATACTGTAGTACATACTGTAGTACACACTGTAGTATACACTGTAGTACACACTGTAGTACATACTGTACTACACACTGTAGTACATACTGTAGTACATACTGTAGTATACACTGTAGTATACACTGTAGTACATACTGTAGTACACACTGTAGTACATACTGTAGTATACACTGTAGTACACACTGTAGTACACACTGTAGTACATACTGTAGTACATACTGTAGTATACACTGTAGTACATACTGTAGTACATACTGTAGTACATACTGTAGTATACACTGTAGTACATACTGTAGTACATACTGTAGTACACTAGGGCTAGGTATCATTAAGGAGTTGCCGATACGATACATACCTCGATACACAGGCCACGATACGATACATACCTCGATACAGTGCAGTTTCTATTCGATGATATATTTCAAATCGATTCAATACGGTTCAATAAAAAATAAAGACTAAATCATGGCTGTGATACTAAAAGTCTTTGTTAAACCACTTCTTGTGCAAAGTTCATATGAAACACAAACATTTTAATCCTCAAAACAGTAAAAATGTCAAATTTGTTGCATAAATGAGTTTCCTTTCACTCCACAAGCAACAAAACTGTACCTGAAACAAAATAATTTAGTAAAACACACCTAAAAATACTCTTGGTGATATATCGATACAATAGCCCACGATATCAATACTGTATCATCACATTAAATGATACGATATATCGATATTCTGATATTTTTGCACACCCCAATAGTACACACTGTAGTACACACTGTAGTACATACTGTAGTACACACTCTAGTACACACTCTAGTACACACTATAGTACACACTGTAGTGCATACTGTAGTACATACTGTAGTACATACTGTAGTACATACTGTAGTACACAATGTAGTACACATCTTTGGAATATTGGGACAGTGAAAGTAATTATTATTAGGCCTTGAACAGTATTGCTGTTTCTTACATTTTGAATCTGCTCTTTCTGTAACATTTAAATTATTATAATTACTATGACCAGTATTCCAACAGTCTCTCATTATAATTGATTTGTGTAGTAGTAGTAGTAGTAGTAATAGTATTAGTAGTAAATCATTATGCAGATAATCATTATACACACACCGACACCACTAAAGCCCCTGCTTAGTGAGCTAGAGCCAGTACTTCAGGATCTGTTGGGGCTGGGCTTAGTACACGCACTCACACATGTACACACACACATGCACACACACACCCACACACACACACACACCCACACCCACACACACACACACACACACACACACACACACACACACACACACACACACACACACACACACACACACACACACACACACACACACACACACACACACACACACACACACACACATTCCTGTCATTGCCAGGCGGGGCGGCTCTGACTCATCCTGGGCGATGGTTGTTGGACTGGCCCGGCCTGTCTGAACCCTGGTCCACACACCGCTCAGGCACTCTCCACGGGACACACCCACTTTCTTCACTATTGGCATTTGAATAGATACTATTGTTACACAATGTGGACAAACATTTTACCCACAATGCATACTTCTCAGTAGTGTTCATGACACAGTTTCAGCAATTCAAGTGGAACTGTGTTTGACAGTCACACCAGATTAACCCAGACCTTTACGCTCTCCTCTAGTAAAACCTATGAAGAAAAAAATAACCTCTACATTAAAGCCATAGCATTTAATTTTTTTTTTGCCAAAAAAATAGACAAAATTATAAGCATGTTTTTCACTATGGATGTAGCACTGAAAAACATCAAAAAACATGCCTCCTTACTGCATGTGCTTGCATCTCCACAAACCTGACTCCTAATTGGCCAGGAGGAGTCAACTACTATCACTTTTACATTTTAATAGTGACATTCTTAAGGTTACAGTAAGCAGAGGACAGACTGTTTCAAACAGTGACTGTACAGTGTACTGCTCTAATAATAAAAAGAGTAGATTTGAGATCATGCATTTTGTAAAGTGTTTTGTTTGGTTTGCTCAAGATAAACACTGACCTATGCTGGAATGCTGAGGATCATTAGCTGATGCCCTAAAAGTGCAAATATCGACCAAATATATCATATATATAATATATATATCCCACATCTCAGTCTGACTTTATGGGAGAGTCACTATTTATGAAAAAAATAACTTTATTTAAAATCCTTAAACTAAACTGTTATTTGTCTTTAGTGATTTTGTCCAGAAATGATCCATAATGTACTGTGCGTCTGCAGTAGATCTGCGCGTCTGCAGTAGATCTGCGCGTCTGCAGTAGATCTGCGCGTCTGCAGTAGATCTGCGCGTCTGCAGTAGATCTGCGCGTCTGCAGTAGAGCTGCGCGTCTGCAGTATTGCAATAGGCCTGTTGTCATAAAATGGATTAATCAGTGGATTTGGAGTCGCAAACTCTGTATTAGTCAACTAAACATTTTATGTACATGATCAGGATTCAAATGGGACAAGAACAGAAAGGACTGAGTTAAACATTTTACATATAAATACACTTTTTTCTGCATGAGCTCTGCCTGCAGGTGTAGTGTTGTGAGTGCAGTTTGGCTCAGATACACAGAGATATGTGAGTGTTGAGAGCTTTTTAGTGGACTAATGGATGGGCAGCACATGTCTTTAGTCAACCACAGGCCTAATGTGTAACCAGAGAAGACACTGATGCACCAGTTTTAGTTTCATGTGGATAGGCCCAGTAAGTCCAGAGTTGTTAAACTAGGAACAAACAGCTCCATTACTCTGCTGTCTCCTAAAGCTGCAGGTGATTGAGCATGTGGTACTGAGACCTGTATGTTCACAGGACATGGAGATCAGCCCTGAGGAGCTCAAGAAGATCCTGGACAACATCTGCAGAAAGCGTGAGTCACCAAAACATAACATTGTTACTTCAAAAATAACTCCCAAGTACAACATATTTGAATAAACTACTACACATGTAACTGTCTGATTTATAATTTGAATTTAAAGGCCCATAGTACACTATTTTCTGATCTATGTTATTATGTAGTTTCCTCATCACAAACATATGTGGAGTTATGTTTTGTGATGATACAGGAAGTGCTCCACTGTGTTTTTAAACTCCATACACCTTCACTAGAATTGTTTTGATCAAATCAGCCCTGGAATTTCCTCTCTGCAGAACTAAAGGTAAGAGGAGCTGTTAACATGAAAACTACAGGATGTCACATGGTGGAACAGAGCAATTTGAGCTTTGGAGATGTAGAGAGATTAATAATAATTACTCAAACATGTGACTGAAACAAAACACAACTCAAGGTTTGTTTTTGAGGAGGGAACAGCATTAGAACATGACTTAAAGCTCACAATTTTGTCAAGTCAGTTTTGCATAATACAGGGCAAAATTTAAACAATGCACAAAATCAGGTATTTTTAATGAATAGACACAAAAATTTAGCAAACTAAATTATACTTGAAGGAGCGGTGGAAGAAACACAAATGTTCAACAGCTTTTTAGACTTAGTCACTGTGGGAAGAGTAACCACAACTTTTACTCAAGTAAGAATACTGTTACACTTTGCAGTATATTTGTCAAATAGAATATCCATAGTCAGTAGTCATATCTGAAAGTACTTGAGTAAATGCAGCTGAGCACTTCCCACCTCTGGATTTGAGTAGCAGTGGTGCAGTCAGTCAGTGTTGGCTCTTTGATCAGAGGGTGTCTGGTTCAAATCTATATTGAACAGTATTCCAGGAGAATTCTCCTTTGTGATGATGCTGTGTGTGTTGTAGGTGGTCTGGACATCGGTAATGACGGCTTCAGTATTGAGACGTGCCGCAGTATGGTGGCTGTCATGGATGTATCCTTCCACATGGGACCCTGGGGCCCCTGATGCCACCTACATGAGATCGTTGGTGTAATTTTGAGGACTTGATTCTTGGACTTGATTCTTGGACTTGAGTTGGACTTGACACTGCTCTGTTCTCTGTGCTGGTGTTGTGTTCTTTGACTTTCTCTCAGAGCGACAGCACAGGCAAACTGGGCTTCCATGAGTTCAAGTTTCTTTGGAACAACATCAAAAAATGGCAGGTGAGTTTTTACATAAGTTATCAGAGGGGTCAGAGGGGTCAGAGGAGGAGGCCAGGCCTGGTTAGGAGTTGGATGGAAGACATCTGGGAATTCCAGGTGCCCCAGTGGAGCAGCAGTGACTCTAGTAGAAACTGTTGTTCAACACAGACACTCCTTTAAGTGTGGGGTGTGTGTGTATTGGTGGTGGTGAGATGATGTGGCTACAGTAGTAGTTTACCACCACCAGATGTGGAGTGAATGAATAATGCTGTAAATGACCTTAATACTTAATAATGATATTGGCTTACACTTGTAATGTTCTTTAGGCTGGATGCAGCCCCTTGAGAGAGTGGAGAGAGCTACACTGTCTATTATATATACCTCTCATGTGCCCTTCATTTTTGAAACGTGTGTGTGTGTATGCAGAGCATCTTCGTGCAGTACGACAGGGACAGGTCCGGTCGCATCTCGTCTCGGGAGCTGCCCGGGGCCTTGGCGGAGGCAGGTGAGTGCAGCCAAAGGACACAACCACTGAAACAGAGCTGTCCAGTTACTCCAACTCTAACCATGGCTGTAATTACTGCTCTTATCAGAGAAGCTACAAATGCTCATTTCAAACTTAATGATATTTTGTTTTGAACATTACCCACATTATTAGTGTTTAAGTAATCAAGTGAAGTACTTTGAGCTGTTAGAGTGGTATTCTGTTTGAGGAATCCTGGATTGTCCTGCATGCAATGGTTGAGTGCTCAGAAGCGTTACCTCCCCCCCGTCTCCACTCACAGGACAGTACAACGGCAGATCTTTAAAAAATCTGACAACGCGTTAATTAAATGTTTTCTGGTGGACAGTGCTTATCTCCATGGAAATTATTGTTTTGGCCAGAATATTCCACATTATTGCATTAAATGTGCCTAGTATTTGTTCAGTTGCATGTGTTTTCATTGCTCCAAAGTAGCGTGTAAAACAATGATACTGATATATTCCCTCGTTTGGTTTCAAAGGACCTTCATTGTCATGGACATGGCCTCTGGATGCAGCTCAAATGTCTCATTTCAACAATTTCAAACATTTGAGGCCTTTGTCATTTGTAAACATTTGTCTTTAAAAAAAAAAAAAAAAGCCTTTACCAGCACACCCTAAAACACACTCTCACTGTGGCTCATCTCTCCAGAGATCTGACCTGTAAGCTGGCACGCACAGCACTGGAATAACTGAATGAACCTTTACTTGTAATAAGAAGTACAGGCCACATGTGGCGTCTCGTTCTTGTCTTAATGGTGATATATGAACATAAAGAGGGACTGTTTTACTTATTTATGGTATTACCTGTAACACAATCACCATCTTTCATTTTTGACACTCAAAAGTCAAAAGTTACTCCCCCTTCAGAGCACTATCACAACAAAATCAGCATGCATCACATCAATTTGTGAAGCTGTAGTTTGAGTGTGAATAGGGCCTGGGAGAGATCGCTGTGGATGACATCTAAAACCTCTTCATTCCTGTTTTAGTTGAGGGAACAATGTGATAGAAAGGTAAACGTTGATACCTCCTGTTTAATGCTCTACTGAGTCTGAGTAGCCGTAAATAAAAAAAATAATCATTGTGCTACTTTATAATAACTACACCTAATTAGCCTTAATATGTCACACAGAAAGACTTTATTCACAATGAACAATTAGTTTATTATGAATAATTCAAGATTAATAACTGTTTAATTAATACCTCTTTAAATAAAGAGCTCATACGACACTATTTCTGTCTGTGTTAAAAGGCAGTTTCCTCATCACAAATAAATATTACATAACTATTAATAAACTATTCATCACTGTGATTTAATTAAGGTGTTATTATAAAGTGTAACCCTTTTAGTGTTTAGTATTCCTCCTTTGAAGTAGCAGTACTTTTACATGAGTATCCCTCCTTAGCAGTGGTACTACTTTGACCTGACTATGCTTGATTTGCAGTAGCAGTACTTTTATGCGAGTACTTTCTCTGTGCACAGGTTTCCGTCTGAACGACCCGAGGAAGAAGACGGATGACTTATACAATCTGATCTTGCGTCGCTATGCCGACCAGAACGGAGAAATGGACTTCGACAGCTACGTGGGCTGCCTGGTGCGCCTGGACTCTATGTGCAGTGAGTCACCTGCCAAGAACTACCGTGGACCTGCTCCTGTCTTGCACCTGTTTTGCACCTGTCTTGCATCTGTTCTGCTCCTTTTTAAAAATTTTATTTGACATTTGACGCTGAGATTAAATTCTCTTTGTCAGGGGAGTCCTGGCCCCACAGAATGTTCTTGACTCTCCACTAGACATGGATCACTTTCACTTGCTTTCCCCTGGTTAGTTTTGGAGTGGATTGGTATGGCTCCAGCTGTGGTTAAAATCACCAACTGAGACGATTAGATGAGAGAGAAGGCAGACTCAGGTGAAAACAAGACAACAAAAATAAATTAAATTATAATCTGTCACCAAACACTGACTTGATCCTGTGATAAACCACCATAAATTGAGTCGACATGATCTACAAAACAAAGCCTAGCTGGAGTTGTATCCTGACTGGACTCTTTACTTTCCTGATGCAGGCTCAGAACGTCTCATGATGTTTGAACTTGAATTCATGCAAAGCTGTTCAGCAGTTCCTCACAGGATATGTAAGAGTTGTAGGGGCAGTGGTTCCCTATGCCACACAAGTAACTAGGATTCAAATTTTAAAAGGTAGTTCTGACACGTGTTTCCATATAAATGAGCCCAAAAGTCCAGTAAAAGCTCAAATATTCCTTTATTTTAGCATGAGCTTTGAACACTGTCAAAAGACTGTTCCTCATCAATTTGTAACACCTGGCATTGCTAATTAATGGTCTTAAATAGGCAGCAACCCACAGAAAACAAAGACATAGTGCCACACAGTGGCCAGAGGTGCATTTTGGCCGTTACACACCGGCCCCTTTGTTTTCTGCCGGGATCAAAACAATTACAAAATGAATGTAGCAAAAGGCCACAATGCAATAAGAAAATAATTCTAACTTCTCAAATTCATTGTACAATCCAGATAACATGATTTACTGTCCAAAATTTGCATTTTAGCAATCATTTAAGCAATTACACAAACTCCATATTTTATCTTGGCAAATTTAATCATTAATCATTCAAAACAGAATCATTAGTCCTATGCTTTCCACAGTTTTCTCTTGAAAGCTCTTGGGTGTTTTAGGTGGAAGAGAGCTCTTGCTTTATCCAAGCCCTTTGGAGGCCATGAGGGCGACAAACAGCAGTCACCTCTTGAGTCCATGTGTGGAAGTGAAAACAGTCCGACAGTTGTCTCCAATTTGTTCTTTGTCAACGAAAACTACATCCAAATCACCAGTCCTGCCCTGTCCTGTCATTTCCTCAGAGGGCCTCCTGTACCCTTTACCAATAGGGTTACAACAGCGTCCGGCCCTATGCCTTGACTGTTGGCCACATCGGAGGAATCAAAGATTTCAGAGGGTTGGATTTCACCTTTGGAGATTGAAGTGTCTGTTTCCCTTCACATGGAGATGATACATCAGATAAGTGGGTGGAATAAAGTCCACGACAGGAGAGGGCTCACCTGTCCTGGCCCCTGTGTGTTTGCCAGACACAGGAGAAGTGACCGGAGGAGTTCGTGCAGTTACTTTGTGTGGCAGTGGTTTCTCCGAATGTGGGCTTTTTAATTTATGGGACTCCAATCTAGGCTTAGACCTTTTAGACTTTAACAAATCAATTCAGCCTTCATTTCTAAAATTTCCATTTCCATATCCAGTTGTTCCTTTTTCCTTCTGATTATTGCCATTTGCTCTTCTATGGCATGTTTCTCCTTCAATAAAGACAGTCTGACCAGAAGCACTGCCTTTTCAGCCTCAAGTTGTAAATGAGCAGCAGCAATAGAAGAATTTAAACCTTTCATGACTAAATAACTGCTTTTTACAAAGTGAAATAAGTTCAGTGAAAGTTCAATAAAGCTGAACAAGTATTTTGTAAGCAAATTTTACTGTACACTGATTGAAGACAATTGTCCTCCTTTGCTTGATTCCCTTACATTAGTGTCCAGTTCAATCAGCTTAAGTCCGTTGCATAGATCTGTGTCCAAACTTTCTACACGGTCAGTCTGTGCAGTGTTCTTCACCACAGTCACCTCTGCACAAACTCCCATCTCTGTCCTTGTCCAAACCAATGCTGCTTCGCTGCCTTTCCTGTAGCAACCAAACGCAGCTCTCAGAGCCAGACTGCAGGTGTGGTGAGTGGTGCCAATCAATCCACTTCAGCTTGTTGTCTTCTGAGGAGTCTTTTGACTAATGTAGGGGCAGTGGCCCTATGCCACACAAGCCACTAGGATGCAAATTTTAAAAGGTAGTTCTGACACGTGTTTCCATATAAATGAGCCCAAAAGTCCAGTAAAAGCTCAAATATTCCTTTATTTTAACATGAGCTTTGAACACGGTCAAAAGACTGTTCCTCATCAATTTGTAACACCTGGCATTGCTAATTAATGGTCTTAAATAGGCAGCAACCCACAGAAAACAAAGACATAGTGCCACACAGTGGCTGGAGGTGCATTTTGGCCGCTACAACAGTTACAGAACACAATCAGATCTATTTTCTAACAAGTAAACTGTATTTTGAGAGGAAAAATGCAATTTTCAATCCTGGTTAAGATAAGATATTAGCAGATACTTCAACATATAGTATTGATATTGGTATAGGAACTGAAAAACATGTATTGGTGCATCCCTAAGAATGTACTACCATTTCACGTTGAAAATCACACTGAGTATTGAGTTTGAAATGTCCAGTACCCTGTCTTCCTTCCACTTCTGCTCCTGTCCTGCCTGCTCTAGATGTTTTAGCAATGCATTAATAATAATAACAACAACAGTAGTAGTAGTAGTAGTAGTTTTAATAATAATAATAATAATAATAATAATAATAATAATTATTATTATTAGTATTATTAGTATTATTATTATTATAACAGCAGCAGCAACAACAACATTTTATAGTGGGTTTTATAGTGATTTTGATGTCAACTTGAAGACGCTTCACAATAGTTTAACATAAAACATCATAGGACAAACAAAACCAAGTAGTGAGGAGGGAGCCAATAGTGCGGGTTAGAGGGAGGGAGGGGTAAAAGTGGTGTCGTTATGGCAATAGAACAGAGCAGTGTTGGTCTCGTGACAGATGTGTGGGCTGGAGGAAAAGGTGGTGCCTCTGTGGTCAGGGTGAAATGGTGCGCACAGGGGATGACGGACTTGGGACCGATGATGAGTTGTTGCAGTTGAGTTTGAAGAAGTTGGTGATGATCCAGGATTTTATGACAGCCTAAAACTAGTATCCGAACTAGAAATGAAGCTTTCCTGAATAACTTTGTTCCACCTTGTGATGTCATGTGGTGATACAGAAATTCACTGTTTCTAAACTCCAGAGACCTTATCATTACTGAACAAAAGGTAAAAGGAATGTAAAAAACTACCACATGACATCAGATGGTGGAACAGTACACAGCTCCGAGTATTCTGAGCTTTGGAGATGTAGACAGACTAATAATGAAGTGTTACTCGAACATTTGTGAATGAAACAAAACACCTCCAGGTCTGTGTTTGAGGAGGGAACAACATTAGAACATGGCCTAGAGCTCACAGGAGTTAATTTTGTGTGATACAGGACCTTTAATGTTGAAAATCACATTCTAAGGTTTAAATGTTTTTGGTATAATCACTGATTTGTATTAGTCTATTTCTTAGTATGGAAATGGTGTTTGAAAAGTTAGTATTGTGTCAGCTCTAGTGTGAACATAGGAGGAGGTTCTAATTTAATGTCTGTTTTTTCTCTGCAGGAGCATTTAAGACTCTGGATAAAGACAACAATGGAACCATCGACCTGGGCATAGAGGAGGTAAGACTCTGCTCAGCATTATAACGGCTTAAAGCTCTCAAGAGTCAATTTTATATAATATAGGACCTTTAAGTAAAAGTATTTGAGATAATGTTCTTCAGGTTTTTCAGATACAGTAACATCTGGTTATTATTGTAATGCTGATTTATTCTTTATTACAAAAAACATTGGACATAGTGTAAATTCTTTATGTCATAATTTGTTTTTTTGGTTCAAGATGATTATCCAATCAAAAAGCAGAATGAGCCTCACCTCTAGTTTGGGTTGCAAGTTTCAATGCTGAAATCCAGTGTGTTTAAACCTAAAAGGTCTCTCTCTGATATGAATGGTCTCTCCCTAAACCCCAGCACCTGCACCTGTCCTGAGTCAGTGCTAGTGCAGCCTCTGCAGCTCAGAGAGGGAATTCTGGAGGTTCTGAGCTTCACATAAGACCTGGTCTGTCCATAAACTGAGAATGAGACAAACTTGGCTGTGTCTCTATCTGCAGGTGAAGACTCTGGGGGCAGTTTAGATGTGATTGTAATAGGCAAGTTTCAGCTGACGTCATTGTTATTAAAAGCCCACGTTGCATGCTGGGAAATATTTTGGTCGGAGGCAAGAAACACGATAGCGGTCAAACACAGTGCATAACCTCGCATATTTCTCCCCGATAATGGTAAATTCCTGTTGCATTATCGGAGGCACAAATAGAAGCACGGAAGAAAGAAAATGTCTTTTTCGTATTCTGAGTGAAAAGAACCACTAACGGTGAATTAAACGGCTTTCAAACATCCGAGCAAACGTAGAAGATCCTAACAAACCGTGGACTCCAACAAGTTCAACAACACATCGAGACTCTTGGAGGTTTTCATCTTTTCTGCTGTGAATGACCCAGGAGTTTCCACCAAGTCATTGTGGATATCGCCCAAGTGAATGGTTGTCCAGGGAGTTGGCAATTCTGACCAGAAATTTGGTTTGGTCCAGGCTTTGTGAGGGTGATTTGTCGTCCGTCGATGCTTATGACCAATTTCTGGTCAAATGGTCTTGGGTCCTCTGCCGTTATAGTGGATAAATAACCGAATTAGTGTTTCTGCATGGCCGAGCACCAAAGTACATCTGTGACATGTTAGTGTCATATGAACCATCTCGCACTCTGAGGACTCAGGGACCGGCCTCCTTGGTGCCCAGAGTCAGTAGCGTTTAGGTTCATGCTTAAATAGTCTTCCGGGATCAATCCAGGTTTAACTGTGCATATACGTTTTCATTGCTTCTCTCGTCCGTCATTCTGTAAAGCACTTTGAAACTTTGTTGATTGTGTATTAAATTGCCTTGCCTTGCCTTTCTTGCCGCCGACCAAAACAATTCCCAGCACGCGCGCTTTTGTCAACAATGAAACTCGCATATACCATTTTTAAACTTTAAGAGACAAGCAGGTGACAGACCCTGGACTAGAAAAATGACAAAGTTACACAGTGCACCTTTAAGTACAGATTGTTAATAATTGTATTTTACTTTGGACTGGGTTATGTTTCAGCACTGCCTATTTGTATGTAGAATTGTCACTATATTACTTTTGCTCTCATACCCACCCCTCCTGAATCTGCTCATGTGTTTGTGTGGACAGTGGCTGGAGCTGACCATGTACTCCTGAGCTTGGAGCTACGGCGACCATCTTTGGGACCACACCCCCGCATTCCACTTGGGACCAAATTCTTGCTTTTTTTTTGGTGTGTGAGATAAATCCATAATAAATCATGTCATTTTACCACTCATGAGTCATCTGGTCATTTGTGAATGTGACTTCATTTCTCCTTTGTTTGGGATCAGGTCCACAAACTTGTCAAATTAATCTTAATGTCCTTTCAGCTGACAACAGGTACGTTTTTGGAGCTGAATTACGGCACCACTTTCTGAAGCTATTGTGAATAAATAATTTCACTTTAGTTTATTTATATTGACAGTTCACTGACCGTTTCATGTGGATAGGCCCAAGAGCGACAGAGATATAAACCATAAACCAAATCAACACAACTGCATCTGACAGGTCCACGGCAAACTCCGCTTGAGAATTCTGCCCTGTGCTCCAGCTCAGGTTAAACTGTAGACCTTTCTTCTTTTTATGGTACCAAACATATGTATTTTATGAAGCTCCTTCAATTTTTTGAACATTCACACGAGTAAACAGTGACCATGTACTATGTTTTATTCCAGCAGCTAAGGTCACTAAACATTTAAAGACTGAATCAAATGGTTTGATAATAATTTTGATCTAACAAGGTGACAAGTTATCTGACATCCAAGAAAACAGCTGCAGATTATTCTCATGTTAAAAAAACAATTAAGTCATGTTCAACACAATGATATTGTCTTCTGTTAGTTGTGGACGGCACATCGATGTTCAAGACTATGCAAAATGTTACAGTACATTTTGGTGCACAAGGAACTCAAACATCCGGAAGCAGCCCAGAAGTGAGGAAACAGTTCCCTATCATGTTTGGATCGGCTGAGCAGGTAAAGAAAGTCTTATAGAGCCTTAAATGGAAAGTGTTAAGGTTGTCCATTGAAGGGAAATTTCAGGATTTGTGGGAATTTATCACATATAAAAAATCATATTCATCTTTATTCTGGGGTGGACCTATATAGTTCCAAATGCACATTTGTTTTGAAGCTTTTTTTGTTTTTGTTTTAAGAGAGCCAGTACATGTTTGGATCACAATGGGACCAAGAGCCGACTCCCAAAAAATTTATGAAGTGCACAGATGAGGAAGTGCCACACCCCAGTCAACATGGTCAACTGAACCATCTAAAACCAGTCCACCAGGATGAAAAAGCCTCCACAGGTTGAGGAGAATTCTGGTGGTCAAGCTTGTGAGAACTGTCCATGCTGCCGTGACCTCGGCCAGAAAATCCAAAAGCTCCAGGACCGACTGCGGGTTTATGAAGATGTGCCTACTGATACTGATGATGAATAAGACATGTTCTGTGTTCTGGGTTTTTAGATATCTTCTAACACATCCTGTTGATTCATTCTTGTTCATTCTTCATGTTTGGGAGCTTTAGCTGCTGGAATAAAACATAGTACATGGTCACTGTATACTCGTGCCATTGTGTCAAATGTGAATGTTCAAGATACAATAAAAAATTGAAGGAGCTTCATAAAATACATATGTTTGGTACCATATGAAAGGTCTTTTTCTGGTCTTTCAAACAAAAAATATTCAAAAATTTGTGTCACTACCCACATGCCATAAATTGCATATGAAAATTGGACCATGTTGCGTTTTCTTGTTATTAACAGGACCCTCACACATAACCTATTTCATATTTTCAACATTTGGTGATTTCTTTTAACAGTCCTAGTAGATATCTTAATTCTCAAAAAAAATAAAAAAATAAATAAAAATAAAAAATAAGGGTCTACTACACCTACAAGTAGGTTTAAAAAGGGGCTAAAAATGGTACGCCACAGAAATGAACAAGTTTTTTTTTTTTTTTCATTTTTAAGTTCATATAAAATGACAATGAGTTGAGATACTAAACTTTTGATAGATGTTATTTGAAAAGTGGAGGAGCACAAGCCTACAAAATTTCAGCCCTCTGTGTGTGATACTTATGGAGATATCAACCTGTGAAAACGGCCGAGAAAAAATTACGCGATTTTGGGCCCATACGTTGACGCCATAGACTGTATATATGATGGGTCATTCCACGCCATTTCATCAAATTTCCAGAAAATCTCACACATCATGTTTTTTTTTAGATTTAGAAAAAATTACCATCATGTACCAACCCTATGAAATTTTAATCATTTTCGACTAACTTTTAAAGTTACAGCTCATTTAGTGAGGTGGTCAGTTTACTATATTTTTGAAAGCTTTCTTACTCTATACCAACGGCCATGGAGCCCAGCGCACAGCGTATGTAAAAGAAAGAGTTTTTGATCATGGATCTATGGTTTTGACACAAGAAGACAACCCAGACGTGCTCTACCACCTGTGGACAGATGGAGGCGCTGCGCTACAGCGGAAAGAGCGAGAGAAAGAGGAGTCTGCGCACTGCAGTGCCTTCACTCGTCGTTCGGAAGTTTGGAAAAAACCACAAAGGAGCAGCGGGAGCGGAGTGCGGTGAGTATCCGGACACAGACCCGTTAGTCCCGGTGCTCTGCCCTCTGCAGCGCGGCTGTCTGCTGGACCATCCGCGGAGCGCATCAACCCGCGGAGCGCAGCAAACCAGGGAGAAGCGAGAGGCAGCAACAGAACGCCCCCGGAGCCGCAAAGCATTGTGGGTACTATAAAGGCTCGTTACCAACAACATCCGACTGTGTGCGTCCCCGGTGTCTTTATCCACGACCGAGCCGCGGTGTTCGCTCTGCTGCGGCTGTGAGCAGCGACAAGGACCGGGAGCAGTGTGAGGACTGGTGCACGGTCGGATACAGGCACTGGCCACTCTCTGGTCACTCTGTGGTCACTCGGTCAGTACTGTGCAGGGTGGGCGGGGCTTGAGCGGGTCATGATGCATCTGTGGATGTAAAATGTGCCTGATGCCCTGGACGATGGATGCTCTGTTTTCCACTGGGACCAGACTTTCCAGTATTGTAATGGAACACACTGAGACCCAAAAAAAACTGTTTGGAAAACCAGACACAACCAGAGTGAACCCTAGAGCCTAGAAATGGCAAAAAGCAGTATAAGCAGAGGTAGTGGAAAAAAAAAAAAAAAAAAAGAAAAGAAAAAATTACCCAAATCTTCAAAATAATATTATGTAGAATAATTATGTAGAAGTACAAAGTATGTATATATATATATATATATATATATATATATATATATATTATATATATATATATATATATATATATATATATTACAGTGGGAAGAGTCTAGGTGTGAGACGATATAGAAATTTGGTGTCAAGATGTTAATTGCGATTAACATCATGATAATTATGAACATTGTTGACAATTAAAGAATGTTATGGATATGAATAATGATCATTTGAATATTATTTAATTATTTATAGGTTCCATATTTAAACAACTACTAGTGTTGTACTCTGTTGTAGTGAACTGCACAAAGCAGCACAGTTCTGATGTAGCATTTTGTTGTGTCAGACTCAGTGTGAGGATCATCACGAACATGAACAGGGCGGACTACGTCTTCCCTTCTGATGAGGACTTCATCAGAGTGGACCCGGCACTCATTGGGAACAGGTCCAAACCGCGCTTCACACATGGAGAGGTCAAGGTTCTGCTGGAGGCCATCAAGAAGAACCGCTATGTCCTGCTCCGTGAGTGAACGCAGGCTTGAACTGAACTCATAACGCTAAGAGCACTGGAGTGAAGTATAGAAAATAATAATGAGTGATGTTGTGATGTTGTACAGGGAAGTTTAACCAGGGCGTCTCCGCTGAGGCCAAGAAGAAGATGTGGTGTAGGATCACAGACCAGATCAACAGTCTGGGGGAGAACCAGAGGGAGGTGGGTTCTGGAGCCTGTGCAGCTCCCATCTTGTTCTTGTGCATCTTCACACATGTTTCTTCATTCAAATGCAGACACAGTTAAAGTTTGTGTGACTGTCCCCCTACCCTCCTCTCCTCCCTCTGTCCCCAACCCTCCTCCTTAGACCCTCCTGTATACTCTCCTTAGACCCTTCTGTATACCCTCCTCCTGTAGATCCTCCTCCTGTAGACTTTCCACCTGTAGCCACTCCTGTAGACCCTCCTCCAGTAAACTGTCCTCTAGACCCTTCTATAGATCCTCCTCCTTTAGATCCCTCCTCTGTAAACTCTCCACCTGTAGACTCTCCTATAGATGCTCCTTCTGTAGCCAAACCTGTAGACCCTCCTCCTGTTGACTGTCCTCTAGACACTGCTGTAGATCCTCCTCCTGTAGACCTTCCTGTAGATCCTCCTACTTAGAGCTTACTGAAGACCTCGTCCTGAAGACCCTTCTTAAACCCTCTTGTAGACCCTCCTCCTATTGACCCTCCTCCTGTAGACCGACCACTAGACCCTCCTGTAGACCCTCCTGTAGACTCTCTTCCTGTAGACCAGGGGTGCTCAGTACATCGATCGCGATCTACCAGTCGATCACCAAGTTCGTGTCTCGTCTCAGACTCGCATTTGGACTCGGTCTTGTCTCTCACTCAAGGTCTGACACTCAACAAGTGCAATCATATTTCATTATGGCCGCTGCTGTTGGCAATAAACTTGTAGCGGGTCCAGGAGCGTGTGGGGTGTCTCAGTGCAGCCTGTGCCCTCATTTGAAACCCGCAGAGACTCTACGGCACATCACAAACACACACGCTCCCTATGCATGGCTCGTCTGCGACAGCGTGTGCCCTCGTGTACCAGCGTGCATCACAGGGCAGGTTCAACTTTCTAAACATCCTACCTGTCCATCTGCCTCACGTCAGCACACCGCCCCTCGCCTTTTCACGCTCTCACAAGCCCCTCCCACAGTGCGGCTGATTAGAAGAGCAAGACCAAACGTGAAGCAAAAACGAGTCTAAATTTGTGTTCCAGTGTTGGCACAAAGCAGGTCTACAGCATAGAGCGGATCTACAGAACAGACCTTTGACTTTGACTAACAAAAGTGCTTCTGTGTTTGTCACGATGTGCGTTTGGTTTGGTAAACGTGCAGAGGCTGGTAAATATCATTGCAAACCAGAAAAGAATGCAACTCCAGTTTGGAACAGTTTGGTTTAAAAATCTTCCTACACTTTTTTCAGTTTTGTGTAAAGTGCCAGAGGAAGTTCTCTTAAAGAAGAGGTTCTCAAACTGTGGGTGAGGGTCCAAAAAAGGAACACAGAGTGTTTCAGTGCTGTTTGCTTGGCTTTGTATTAGGTAGATCATTTTGACTTGGTCATTTTGTAAGTAGCTCACATGCTGAAAAAGTGTGAGCACCCCTGCTGTAGACCCTCTTCCTGTAGACCCTCCTGTAGATTCTAAAGCTACTTGTCTCTTGAAGGTTCGTCAGATCATGAAGAAGTGGGCCGACCTGAAGTTTGATGCAAAGCGCCGCATGCTGGGCTCTAGGAAGCGCTTCAGGAGGAGGAACCTGGGCCCCATCGAGAAGGCCGTCCACAAGATTCTCACCATGAGCCCCAAGGGAGGTGAGGCCTGCTTTTCTCACAGCATACCTCCACTGCCAACAACTTCTAAGAATAACTTCAGTTGTAAATGTGTGTCTTGTTTTGAGTAGTTTGGACTAGTTTAGGCTCATAGTTAATTCCATGGTTGTCATGATTGTTGTTGGCTGCTCGTGGCTAACAGGCTGGCACACTGAGCAGCTGTTTATATTTTAATAATCTGAAGTGCAGCTTGTGTAGTTCAAAGGACGAAAGTTAAGAACTATTGGATTGTGTGATTTGAGCAGTTTGTTTTTCCTGTATCCATGGTGACCCTGCTTTGAGCCTGAAAACTCTGAAACTACTTTTTACAACAATGCACCAAATACGGCAGAAGCCATTCTAGAGGAAACATGGCCCCTCATCACCAACTGAAACAACAGAGCAGAGAGCGAGACAGTCTTAAAAGAGGCTTTCCTGTTGTGCCTCCAGAGTCCACCTGGCTCTTCCTGAACACTGCTGTAATGCTGCAGGACACAGAGGAGGGACACTGTTGTTCTGAGGGCTATTACACTCCTCAAAGTGCCCTGACACTGGATCTGATGATTTGAGCTGTTGAGCTGAGCTGAGACTTTAGTTTGAGCTTTCCTTTTATTATTCTATTTACTGCTCAATATGCTTAAACTGTCTCTTGGGGACAAACAAATTAATATTCATTGATAGTTATCCCACAAGCCACAACATTTATACTGGATTTTGACCCATTAGTCAGGAAAATGGTTTAGTATGACTTGTTAACCGCACCCACTCAGTCCATCCTGCCACTCTGACCCAGAAACAACTGTCTGGATATTCTCATGAAGTTGTTTCCACATGTTTCCCATTGATTTATGCTCACTTTGTTCTTTTGTAATTACCCTTGATAATGCACCATGACTGGGAATCAGCTGCCTGGGATAGTGCCAGTGCTGTTTTTTAGTCCAGCATCAAGTTCTTTTCATTTGAGTGGAGGTAACATGGTCCAAACCTGAATCACTCCAGCTTCTGTGGCTCCTACTCAGGCTCCAGGTGTGTCATGTTCATAGAAACTATTAACTAGGTCCATAAACAATAGACTCATGCAGGTATTTTTATGCCAAGCCTGAGCTGTTCCCAGAAGAACTTAAGATCATTCATGGCCTTAAAAAAACTGAACATCATTTCTGGTAAAACAGTAAAACATGTTATTACCTTTAGAACCATGTAACCTGTGCATGTGTCTGTGTTCAGATGGGGAGAGTGACGTAGACCTGGATGAGGACCGCTCCTTCGCCAGCATCTCTCTGCCTGAGAATAGTCTGTCTGAGAACACTACCTTCAGCCTGCCTGACAGCTCCTACAGCGAGACCTTCAGCTCCGAGCTGTCCCTCGCCGACAGGACAGGGGACGGTAAGGACACATGCCCTGAAAGGACAGGGGACAATATGGACACATGCCCTGAAAGGACAGGGGACGGTAAGGACACATGCTCTGAAAGGACAGGGGACAATATGGACACATGCCCTGAAAGGACAGGGGACAATATGGACACATGCTCTGAAAGGACAGGGGATATAAGGACACATGCTCTGAAAGGACAGGGGACAATATGGACACATGCTCTGAAAGGACAGGGGATGTAAGGACACATGCTCTGAAAGGACAGGGGACAATATGGATATATGCTCTGAAAGGACAGGGGACGGTAAGGACACCGGCTCAGAGTAAAATACTTGGTGCAGCTGAGGCACAGCCCTGCAGTGCTCACAAGCTGTAGAACGACCTCATTCACTACAACAGCTGTGAGGAATCAGCCCCTAAGGACACATGCTCACCAGCCGTGGGTCATTCTGTCCTGGGTCTGTCTTCCCCAGGTGGGTTTGGCGGGGGTGGGTTCCTTTGGTTCCCTCCTCTTGCATGTAGAGCAGAAGACAGGCTAACAGTGCAGTGACTCCACAAAGCTGTGTGTGCTGTTTAGATGATCATTGATTTTGGTTCCTGCTTTCTCCTTCCCCAGACCTGAACTATGAGTCTCCAGACTACAGCCTGGACTTTGATGAGGAGGATGATGAAGACCAGAGCTCGCTGATGGAGTCAGAGGAGTTCTTCAGATCCAAACCCACATACACATACTCTCGACAGGAGGGCAGCCCACTCTACCCCCAGGGCCTCGCCCCATCAACCCAGGGCCAGAATCTCCAGCATCAGGGGGCTGGCCAGATACTGCAGAGCCCCACCCCCTCGCCTCTGGCCCAGTGCCTGCAGCAGCAGAGGGTGGGCCGGATGCTGCTGGCGTCGGTGGCCCGATCTGTGGAGACCCTGGCTCGCTCTCTGCAGCTGATGAAGCAGAGGCAGCAGGACTTTGTGCAGGAGTCTCTGCAGCTCCAGAGGCAGAGCGTGGACACACTCAGGGACTTCTCCAGTACAGCCCTCGCCATGCTGTGTACATCACCCCGCCATACACCCCCCGCCGCACACACACACAAGTGATACACCCCCTACCGTATATACACACAAGTACAAATACGCAAGTACAAATACACACATAAACACAACTGCCACGAGCTCTCAATATACTGGGGCCGTTGCGGTGCTGGGGCCCTTGTCGCAGCCTCGTATGTGGATATACAATATACACAAAAATATAGAGGACAGTAGGACCAAGATACTACTAAGTGACAAGAAATGTGTGCTGTATGTTTTTATGTTCCCTTTAACCTGTAAATGTCAGTAACACTGTAGCTCATTCATATTTCAAATGTAAATAGACTTGCACGAGACTTTACTCGAGGGCTGCACAATATGTTGGCAAAATATGGATATCGTAATATTGGCTGATGCAATAATCGTTACTGTGAGAAAATAAATGTAACACAAGAACACCAAGTTAATTTAGAGAAAGCTACTGTTTTTGGAAGGTAAAATATACAAAAAGTTGAGGTTTATTTATGATTTTCATTATTAAGGAGGTGGTATTGTGTAAAATCTACTTTTTGGAGCTTTCTACCATATTCTAAATGTTGTTCCCATGTCCAGAACATATCAGGTTTTTTATATCCATGCATGTTTGGGTATTTTAGCGATCTCTCCTGGCCCTGTTTAATAGCACCTTACAGTCAGCAAAAGGATCCTGTACAAGGCTCCACCTATGCTCCTGCACCACAGTTATCAATAAATATACAAAAACATGATACAAAATTGTACATAACAACTTGACTAACCTGATGTAGTTTCATTAGCGGGACGCATGCTGATTGTGTTGTGATGTCATCATGAAGGGAGCCGTGACTCAAAATCGCAAAATGGAAGCATGGTGACCTAAATATTTCATTAGACTTGGGCTTGTCTCAGTTCTGTCTTTATTAAGTTTTTATTTTGACCCACTTTGACGAGTAAAAGAAGGCATGTACATGTATTTTATTTAATTTATCGCAGTACAAAACTAGTTATTTGAGTCTTTTTGTCATCTTTTTGTCACTGTGCAGCCCTACTTCACTCGTGTTACTAAGGCAACCTGCTGTACTTCACATGTGACCCACCGATCACGACTATTCTTCTGCATGTCTCTGTGACCCCCTTTTTACATTAAGAAGGATTTTATACTTGAATCTACAGCATTATTAAAGAGGTGGTATTACACTTCTGTAGGGTATTAACTGCTAACACGCATCATATTTATATATTATATTTGCCAGCAAACAACATACTGTATTAACATGTTTTATACAATGGGAGAGATTGCTAGATTAACATACATGGATGACAAAAAAGTCTAAATAATACAGGCTGTTCGTCCAAACATGTTCCTGCTGCCTGTTCTTATTAAAACAGTATCGCCTCCTCCCTTCCTCCTCCTCCTCCTCCTCCTCCTTGCCTTCACTCTCCTTGAACCCAACTTTCAAAAAAACAACAACAAAAAAAAACTAACAAAAAAAAAAAAAAAACACTCACAAGTGGCAGAAAAATATCTTTGTTTATTAGAAATCCACATTTGTTACTATGAAATCATAAAATCCGGCTGGACAGGTGTGGTGTTATTGGACCATAGAAGGACAGGGGGAGGGGGACAGGGCGGGACAACAGCAGCATTCAGGCCACGCCCCTCACATAGTGCACACTCACCACATACTATTGCTTAGAAAACCCAGAGGACGCGGAGACAGGGGGGACGCAGGGTTAAAGTGCCTGGGAAACTGTGCTCTTGGTGGGACAGGGACAGGCGGCGTGTCCCTGTTGTGTCCCCGTGTGCTTGGACAGTCCTCAGAGCGAGTACACATCGCCTGGTAAGTGTTCATCCTTTGGCATATGACTCGAAGCTGGAGACGGAGAAGCAGTCCAAAAGTGTCCCAACATGTCCAAGTTTGTCCCCTCGTGAGTTCTGTACCAAGACATTTTAAGAGAGGAAGTCCCGCCCCCTGCACGTGCACGCTGGTACAACTGGAAGCCCGGGCAGAGCGCACGTTTATGTCCATAAATGTCCACATATGTCCAAACATGTCCAGGGCATGTCCAGAGTGTGCCCACTGTCCAACACCGCTTCTGGTCTGACATGGCTCACAGGGGAAACGCTGACACCTACAGGACAGAGAGAGGACTGCACTGTGACAAGGCATATGTATAAAACAAAGATACAGTATATTAAACAGACATGTTGAATAGAAAAGAGCTGTAACTGATTTCAATCTTGATCAAATAAAACATGTGAAATTTGCACTTAAATAGATTCATCAAGGTTTGAGCCATCCTGTATTGTCACGTATTTGAGTGGCGTGGCTGAAAAGTTCTGAAAAGGGTCTACCAAACTGCTGCTCTTAATGTGGAGGAGCAGCGACTCTACTCCCAGCTCCAGAACAAATATAAAAGAACATTTGTGAATGTTTACATGCGAAATAGCACCCAATAGAACCCAGGACCAGTGAGGAACTGTTGCATGGAATGAATCATCTATATTCATAAATGTCATCCGTCTATCTTCCATATCGACCCCATTGTGAACTCAGAATTAGCTCTGATGCAAAGTTGGCAGGCTATAGTAGGTGTTAGGATGGTGCTCAAACTCCGTTCTGGTCTCCAAAAGTTGTGAACTGTGCTCATAAGTGTGACGAGTGTGTTCAGACCATGCTGATGTGACAATGGTGAAAATAGTTGAAGGTCTCATTAAAGTGGCTGTACTTATGCACATGTAGTTGAGCATAACTGGTCTTGTTCCAGATATCTGCTGTTTGCATCCAATTAAAGTGTTTTATCGTCCAAGAACCAGAAAGTGCTTTGTTAGCATGATAGCTGAAAAGTGCTTACATGCATTGCAGTGAATAATTAAGATGTTCAGAATGTGTTAGGAAAGTGAGGCTGCAAACTGTTTAAAAAGATTTTGGAGACACCAGAAGTGAGGTACAGCAGCTTGATATAACAATATATTGGGGTGTGCTTCTGAGCTGTTAGGCTATCTGAGCGAATACTGACCAGGCCAGCTGAGTTCAGACGCAGGGCAGCAGTCAGAACAGAGGTGGGGGCGGAGTCAGACCAGAGGCGGTGGTCAGGGGCGGAGTCAGACCAGAGGCAGTGGTCAGGGACGAAGTCAGTCCAGAAGCAGGCCTTCGGGGACGGTAGAGCTCATTGGGACAGGGGGTCTTGCTCCTGCCCGGGGTTCAGGTCCACCACAGTGGTCCCCCGCACAGAGCTGTCCGGCCCCTCTGCTCCTGACGAACTCCTGTTCGGGCCCCCACCTGTCAAAAGCACACAACACTTCTAAAAGGGGGTAGTAAAATCAGTTCTGAATTTTAGGGGATGGGGCTTTATCTGAGCCTCAGGAGGGGGCGGGGCATGTATCTGACCCTAAGGAGGAGGCGGAGCCTTATCTGAGCCTGAGGAGGGGGCGGGGCATGTATCTGAGCCTAAAGAGGAGGCGGAGCCTTATCTGAGCCTGAGGAGGGGGCGGGGCATGTATCTGAGCCTAAAGAGGAGGCGGGGGTTATGCCTCAGCTTGAGGCAGGGGCAGGTCTTATACCTAATAATAAGAAGGGGGCGGGGCCTGTAGAGGAGGGTCTTACCCTGCATTCAATTATCCTTACAAAATGGTTTTCCAAGGATATTGCCTAGCAACATGCATGACACGCCCCTTTTCCTAGGACGGCATAACTCTGACCTCGGTGGCATAAAGAGTAGACTGAGCCAGGATTCCAAGTCAGAATCCAAGATGGCTACGCTCACTGTGATGTCTTAATATGAACTGTTTTCATTGTGTTCACACTTTGGTGGTTTAAATGACAATTTCAGTCACTTGTATTACTGCAGTCGCATACTGTGTCCGTGTCACTGCCTAAGAGTGTGGTAATCGATGTTAAGGTGAGGCTCTCCAAGTCTGACACGCAGAACATAATAATGAGCTTCAAGCTTGGATGTGACATCAAATCCAAGGTCCAAGTGGGAGACCTGAGGGTCTTATACCTGATCTGGAGGGGCGGGGCCTGTGGAGGAGGGCGGGTCTTATACCTGAGGGTCTTATACCTGATCCAGAGGAGGTGGGCGGTGGCACGGGCAGCACTCCCCCTCCCCCTCCGTTGGTCTGGGAGCACACGTTGGCGTGGTGGGCCGCTGCCTTCTGCTTGTAGTGCTGACTGTGGAGCTTGTACTTCATGAGGAGGATGAAGATGAAGACCAGCACCGAGGCCACGATGATGCCGCCGATGATGATGATCATGGTGCCCCCCAGGAACTGCAGGCAGATGGGCACAGAGAGGAAGGGTTAGAGAGAGCGGGCTGAAGAGGGCTTAACTCACACGTTTGACTAGAATCATTTTAACACATTTATTTTTACACTCAGTGTTGGGGGGGTCTGTTTTGGGATATTTCTGGCACTTTTTCAAAAGAGAATTGCACATTTCAAGGTAAAATCATGTGCCAATGAAAGTATGAGCAGAGCAAATCTGCACTTCACAAAATGACTAATGCAGTCACAGATTTGAAGTACTTTGACTCATCCAAGTAGCTTCTACTTTTTTTAATCAATTTTTAAACCATGTCTGTCTCACATCTGTCTCTGCTCCTTTCTAAACCTACAACACACACCACATCATCACCTGCTCTGACTGGACAGAGCTCACACAATCTGCAGATCATCTTTTAAAATGACTCAATTCAGCTTTAAACTAACGAGTAATCTGAGTAGCATTTTTCACATGTACTTTTTGCTGTTACTTAAATACAGTTTGGGAGCAGTATTTGTACTTGTAATTCAGTGCATTATATGTCACTGTACTTTTACTTGAAAAAAGCAGTATGTCCCAGGTAGTGTATCATCTGTTCTCATATGGAGCAGTGTATTACCTGGAGTGGTGTATTACCTGGTCTCGTATGGAGTGGCAGCGGCCGTACTCTGCCTCTGTAGTGAAGGACACACAGCCCACGAGCCTGGTGCCAGTCAGGGCGGTCAGGCCGTCGTCATACACGGCGAACACACACAGGTCGTAGTCCCGCGCAGACGCCAGATCCCCCAGAACCATGGACTTATGACTGGCTGGCAGCATCCTGCACAACAGACATAGTAATGAAACATAAAAAAAAAAGAAATGCAAAAATAAAGACATACAGTTATTAAAGATGAAAACCAAAATGGTGTGTTTTTTGCCTGTAAATCCAGAAGGACATCTCTGTATTTGTCAGCCGCTGGTACAGAGTTGAGTCTGAATATTTCCAGTCAAGTGGTTGTATTTGTTTTTTAACCTTTTTTGTCTATTTTATTTGTCTAGCCAAGTTCTGTGTCTGTGGACTGAGTTGTTGAGGAAAAACTGGGAAAAACTGGGATGAGTTTGGAGAAGTCATGGAGCAGGACTATCATTCGACCTCAAAGAAATTCCTCAGGAGGGAGCAGGAAAATGATGGCACCTTCTCCAGGTGGATGGAGAGTCCCTGTCTCAAGTGGAGAAGTTCAAACATCTCAGGGTCTTGCTCATGAGTGAGGAAAGAATGTGGAGCATGAGACTGGACATCCTGGGGGACGTCTCCTACCAGGAGGAGGCCCTGGGGAAGACCCAGGGTTAGGGTTAGGGTTAGGCTATCCACCTGAAAGAGCTGAACCAAACATAAATAAAGGCAGCAGTAAAAACATGTTTAGTTCATCCTGAGTTGATAGTTAATTTACTTGTCTTCTTTTTAGTTTTTCTTTAGACCAAATCACTGCCCAGTGGGGCAGTGATTTCCTCTCCTCCCAGCTCTGAATACCAATACCACCAATACCAAAGCCCTGATAACTCACTCCACAACCCTCTCACCAAATGGTTCAACTGGACTTTGGTTGCTGCAGTTTCATTTGTTCATTTATTTGAAGACACGACCTGGAGTCAGTGATCACTGGATAATATAACAGTCTCATAATATGTTTCAAGTGTTCTGCCCAAAGACACAAGAACAGAATGCACTGGTCTGAGCAGAGTTCATACACTTTACCAATGAGCCGCAGTCGAAACTCTTTGTGTTTACATGCACACCCCAAATCTGATCATAATCTGGTTACTGGAGTTATCACATTATTGAAATGTCATAAACACTTCCATCTCGTGAGTAATCTGATTTCTCTCTGACTGTTCACATCTGTGCAGGATTTGACAAGGGCACAAAACTAAGACAACGGGGCGGCAGTAGCTCAGTTGGTAGAGCATTCGCCCACTGATCTGAAGGTTGGAGGTTTGAAGCCAGCTCTTCACATAAAACATCACAGGTTGAGCGGTCAGATCCACTGACCCACAGGTTGGCTGGTGTGATTCCAGCTCCCACAGATGAATGCTGTCGTTGTGTCCTTGGGCAAGACACTTAACCTACCTTGCCCCTAGTGTCTGCGTGCACTGGTGTGTGAATGTATGTGTGAATGGGTGAGTGGTTCCTTGTTGTAAAGCCACCCTGAAGGTGGAAAAGCGCTATAGAAAAATGTGACCATTTACAACCATGAAAGAAAACAATGTTAAACATTGAACAATCAGTAAAAGCAACAACAAGGGACATTTTCAGAAGATTGTCTGCTGCTTTTCTGTCCCTAAGTCTAACACACGTGAGTTTGGATTAGACGCTGTGCAGCCAGCAGGCAGCGCTGGAGTGCCGTGTTCTGTGGAAAATCACTGCTGTTGTTGTCTTGTGCTCCTGTCTGCTCCTGTCTGTGCTGCGTCTGTCTATGTTCCTCCCTGCACCTGTCTGTGCTGCTCCCTGCTCCTGTCTACATTCCTCCCTGCACCTGTCTGTGCTGCTCCCTGCTCCTGTCTGGTCACTGTTGTGTAAAATGCTCTGCTCATAGTCTCATTTAATGTTCATCAACCTTTGGCCCGATGAGCATGAAACATCATTTGAAACTTTAAAATTTACACTATTACATATTACACTCCAACATATTACACTACTTCATATTACACTATTACATATTACACTACATATTACACTCCTACATATTACACTATATCACACTACACAAAATACAACTGCAGGTGTGTTTTTTGAGGAGGTAGCAACATTCTAACATGACTAACACTCACAAGAGTCAGGTCCTATGACAAGAGTCATACAGGACGTTTAAGAGCTTTTCTAGCAGCTCTATTCTGTCTGCTCCACTCTTCAGCATCTGGAGGTGGATGGAGCCTGGAGGAGATGGAGCTGTGATGGAGGTCTGGACCCTCCTGTGAGCTCTTGATTCTGATAAACATGAGGGAAAGTGCTCTGTTCACTGTTTGCTCTGGGTTTATGTCTCCAGCACACTTCATACAGTAAACACAGAGCCAATGTTCCAGTGCAATAAAAGAACAAAGAGTTTACAGAGACACAGAAGAAGATCATGATGGTAAATATGGAACAGTTCCAAACAGACTGACAATCAGCCTAAACCTTGTGAGAAGAAACAGGTTTGAGTGAGCTCCCAGGTTCTTCCTCTCTTTGTCCTGGTTACTGAGTTGGCTTAGTTTTACTGTGATTTTTGTTCTGTTGGCACAATCAGCACGTGCCTCTCTCACAATTATGTACCAATCATAAGAATCTTTGTACTTTTCAGCTAAAGCACTAAACATGTCCTCTCATTATGATGATTTTACATTAGTTCTGCGTTTTATTAAGACAGATGTCTTAAGATTCTCAAAAAGGCCCAAGATTTTTTTTGTAAGATCGGTGGTGTGAATGCAGCCAGTATAAGCCTCAGTATTTAAGAGCCGTGCACAGCTTGCACATGTACATACAGAAGTCTGTACTGCACAAATCACCTGACAACGACATGTCAGTGGATCTTTTATGGATTACAAAAATATCAAAATAAAGATATTATGTCTGTCATTCTCTTGACAGATATATGATTAAAGAGGGAGTATTTTACACACAATCGATGTCCATCCCACTAATGAAACCACTGCACATCACATCAAGTTTGTCAAGTTACACAGGATTGTTTGTATCATGTTTTGGTATATTTCTGGAGAATTGCCTTGTGGGATGATGGGTGATGTGGATGGAGCTTTATACTGAATCTTACAGTTAACCGTAAGAAATATTCAAATAGGGCCCAAGAGAGATCCCTTTAATTACTTTCACTTTTGATGCGGGAACAACGTGAAATGACAGACAGCTAAAAAAAACCGACATGTATTTTGCATAATATCCTGCTTTAACCCTTCTTTAAGTCCACGTGCTTGGGTTGCGTGTTCACATGTTTCATAACACATGTGATGCTCCGCTCTATCAGGCGTACTCTGATTCCTCACAGGGACGACTAGCATGTAAATCACAGGAACACCATAACCAGAGCATAGCCATGGACGGGATGTGGTTAATCGCTGGAGCTCTCATCTGCACGGCAACTAGGGCTGTAAGATTTCTGTGATATGCAAATGTGGGTGGACGCAATTAGCAAATCACAAAGGCTGCAGTTTTTGAAGTACCATACTTTCCTTCAAAAACAAACAAAATCTCCTTCTGACCGTGTAGATTAGATCTGTACAATTGTTTTAGATCTGTGTGTTAGACGTCCTCCCCGTGTCTCCATGGGCTCCTATTCTGTTTAAAAACAGGTCATGTGTTCTCAATAGTGATTCTTGCATTAGTTTGTCACTTTTAAAATGTGTGAACTTTGAACAAGGTTGTCAAAAGTATCAGAAACCACATTTGAATCGTAACTAAGCCTAGTATAGAAAAAATGGACCAGTATGGAACCTGCCTGGACCACTGAGGAATCACACAGATATAAGACACATGGGAACCGAAAAGGAAATACTGCGATTTAAGGTGCAAAATCACATTCTATTGTCTAAAGAAGGGCATTTTTATTATTATTATTATTATTATCATGGTGGTATCAGAATCAGTATTCAGTGACTACATGTGTGGGGATGTATGTAAAAGTATGCAGCGTGGGCAGTACATCCTTGTGACTGTGGCTCATGTTTGCCAAACAGGGGACTACATTATCATTGGGAGGTGTCTGTGAGTGCATGGGGCTGTTCCAGAGCAGAGCACAGAGCACAAAGTACAAAGTACAAAGTACAAAGTACAGAGTACAGAGCACAAAGTACAAAGTACAGATTACAGAGTACAGAGCACAAAACAAGGGCCTAAGCTCGGGTGACCAGACGTCCCTATTTACCTGGAACAGTCCCAGGTTTGAGCCCTGTGTCCCCTGTCCCAGCAGATTTATACAAAACCACTGATTTGTCCCAGTATTATACAAGAAATGTCCCAGCTGTCCCGAAATGGAATACCTGCCAACAGTAAAGAGAGACATACATTGTCATTTGTTGAGGTTAATACAGAAAAGCTGCTTAAAAATGAAAAGAAAATGTGACCATATTGAAACACGTTAGTGTTGAGTGGAGAACAATTTTCCTTAATTCCACACTCGTTTCACAATTTTATTACAACCACCACAAACCAGGGATCTCGCAGTTTTTTTTATTTTGAAAATCTGGTCACCCTAGCCTAAGCAGATGTGACAGCAGACAGATGAAGAGCACGCCGTCGTTCATTAAGAGCTGACAGGTACAAGTGTGAGGAGATGAGCGGGTTCCAGAGGCACTCATGGGGAGCAGGGACCATCACACCAGGACAGACTCCACAACCACAGAAGGATCTCATTTCAATATCCACTTAAATGTGCTGTACTGGATTTTTCCTGTGCTAAAGCGTCCAAAAACAGAACTACTTCATTTTAAACGGTTTGCAGTGGTCCAAAGAGAGAGAGAGAGAAAGAAAGAGAGATACTTTATTGATCTTGAGGCAAATTGAGTTTTGTTGCTGCAACATTTCCACTGCGCGTCTCACCTGTGTGTCTCAGTCAAAGGTGTGAGGCAGTTTAACAGGAGGACTGGTCAGGGAGGTCAGCAGATCTGTGTCAGGGCAGTTTGAGGAGAGAAAGAGACAAAAGTGTCCTCCTGTGTCCTGCAGAATCACAGCAGTGTTCAGGGGGAACCAGATCAACACAACAGGACAGGCCTCACTCTCACTCCCTTACTCAGTGATGAAATGGGCCATTTCCTTCAAGTATTTCCTCTGGAAGGTTTTCTGCCACATTTGCTGCCACATATGGCATAAAAAGCCTGTAGCATCTCAAATGTCCATAGCTCCCGAACTTGCCTCCATGGATATGAGAAAAACAAACAGATCCTTTTACACAAACCAACAGTCCTTGTGTTCATTCTCTTAAAGTATTTCTTCTTTTGCCACATTTGCTGCCACATTTGGTGTAAAAAAGCTTCTCAACTCATCTCAAATGACAATAGCTAGCTCCTCTTAGCTCCTTAGCCAGCCTCTTGCTCTAGTTTTTTCTAGTGAATCTGCCACCGACTTGTCTTTTGGTGGTTTTCAGATTCTAGAAGCTGATGATGTGATTCTCTCAGTCGGGGCAAGTGTCAGGTTTTGTATCATAACACAAATGTCTTTAACCAATATTCATCTGTCCTATAGTCACACTCAAACACAGCAATATCATCTCATCTGTATCTTTATGGTGGTAAGCAGGTGACAACACCAGGCCAAGTTACAAGTCAACTCTGTGGAGATGTGACATGAAAAGTTCCATAGACCACCTTTAATGTGTGTTTGCTGTTTTGTATTGTACATTTCAGCACAGCAGTGATATTGTGGATAGCAACTTTGAATCCCACAACAAGGTTCCTGCACCTTGTTCCTTGGTTACCGATAGTGACATCAACCGCACCTTCTGTCTAGAACATTCTCTGCTTTATTTGGTGCTGCTGTGTTTACATGCTTACAGGATGTATTTGAGGCCTGGGACGAGGTGGAGGTCCCACAAGACCAGACAAGATGAGACAAGAGTGGAGGAATAATACTCTGTAAAGGGTCTGTGAGTGTCCAAAAAAACACAATGTATAAAACTGATCCATTATCATAATTATCAGTAAAAACAGGGTTAGCAGTTTTTATGCACAATAAAACATGAGAACTGGTACTTCAGAAACTGCAGCTCAAATCACCCCAAACTGTGAGGCCAAAATTGTGAACAGAACTAGACACTGTATTTATTCTAAGTTAAATCTGGTCTCGTTCTCGTGGACACAATCTCGTGTCTCATCTCGTCTTGTGAGAATTCTGTCTCCTCTTTGGTGTCCACACGTCCCTTTTGTTTGTCCTGCTCATTTAGGCTCTTGTCTCTAGTCCCACTTATTTAGAGCATTGATTTTCCCCCAGTGTGCAGGGACACTGTGCCCGGAGGGAGTGCCAGCTGTGCCAGGGACAAAAATCCATTTTCAGTTAAGTTAATTCACACATGCATCTAACTGAATAAATGAGCATTTTGGAGAGTCGTGAGAAACTTCTGAACGGATTGTGAAAGCAAAACAATCTTCATTGCCAAAAAGACAGAACCACACACAGAGCACTGACAGTATCTACAACATTCTAAAGAATGGAGTCATTTGGTCATGTTTTAGTCGGTGCTGTGGAATCTTTTTCACCAAAACAGTGCCATGACTCAAAGATGATTAAAAAAAACAGAACATTTAGAGAATGTCTTGTTTTGGGTTTTTTTTCTCACAAAAATGACAACATAATCAGCATGCATCCCACTAATCAAACTACTGCACGTCACATCAGATTTGTCAAGTTGCTGTGTACAGTTTTGTATCATGTTTTTGTATATTTATGGAGAATTGTCCTGTGGGAGCATGGGGGATGTAGGGTTGTGGGCGGAGCTTTGCACAGAATCTTACAGCTAACTGTAAGGAGGGCTCAAATCTCTTTAATGACTTTAAAAATGTGGGGTAAACTTCTCTGGAGGACACGTCAGAGTTTAGAAAGATGGCTTCTTTTTGTAATTTTGGGGCATGAAAATATTATAAGTATCTACTTTTAAGTCAGACCAATTCTGCAAAACTGACATTTCAGCACTTTAAACCATGTTATAATTGTTTCCCCTCACCATTTACTCACCAAAAGTAGTATTTGGAGTGATCGGTGCAAGCTTGAGCGTGCACGTCTTTATCTTTAATAACTTATTTTCAAGACGCAATTTTGCCGATGTACCGTGTTTTCACCTGTACATGTCCACTGCACTGTAAGTACAGTATTCTACAATGTAATTTTCTTATTCAGTGATACACAGAGGATTTGACACATTGTGTAGTCATTTTGGTACAAAAGAAAAGATGTGCAGCTATCCACACGAGGGGCCCACAGCATGCGGCGCTGCGGTGCTGTGATGACGTTTACGGTGACGTCAGCCACATTTTTTAAGATGCTGAAGTCAGAAAACTGTTTCTTTGTTTCTTTTATGAAGACATTTTAGATGAATATGGTGATTTAAAATAATAACATAATGATCCACAGGGGTCATAAATTATAATTACAGGACAGACCAAAGCACAGTAGGTCTGCTTTAAATGGAACACTTTGAGTTATATTGCATGTCTGAAGAAAAGTAAACATTAGCTGTGTACAGAGCCTATTGCTCCACTGCTAGTAAATACATTTTTGTTTGTGTGTGGCGTTCCTATAGTAACCTAGTGTGCACAGAGACTGGTGCAGAGGCACACACCTGTATATGAGGATGTCATCTCTGGAGCTGTTGTATTGGACCTGGTACATCCGAACCCCGGGGATGTGGCTCTGGTCGGGCCAAGTGACGGTGGCGGAGGAGGAGCCCAGGTGAGACACGGTGACCCTCTGTGTGTCCGCCCGCACCTGCCCGCCGCTCCAGTTGGACTTGATGGAGGTGGGCATGTCTGAGGGGCCCGGCTCGGGGTCCAGTTTGGGCTCGTAGTGAGGGGATGGGTTCACCACCAGCTCCACCGGGGCTGTGGCCTCTCCTGCTGCATTGGAGGCGATGCATGTGAACTTCCCCGAGTCCTGCAGGCAAACACAATCGTACACTTTTATAAAAACACGGAAAAAGTAAGTGCTTCACGGGATAGTATCTTATTTCAAAGTCCAAAACAGGTGCTCCTCAAGAACAAGGCTCAAAAACTACAGACAGTGAAGATGACCTTGCTTGTAGTATTAAAATTTACTGTGATAATGTAAAAAGAGGTGAAAAAATCAGAGACAATCTTTTGGAATTATAACAAAAGTCCTTTAATAGTTATATGGAAATTTAAAACAACAGTTAAAGGAATAGTAAAGAACATTTTGATTTTAAATTCATAACATGACCCAAGTCACCCATCATTGAATCTTTGAGACTCCTAGCTAAGGTGGCTTGCTAAAGAACTCACTATGGACATTTGAGAAGCTTTGAGAACCTTTTTTTTTTTTTTTTACAACATATGTGGCAAAAGACTGTCCAGAGGAAATACTATAAGACCTTATAGAAGAAATACTTTAAGGACACAGAGGAGAGACACTTTTGTCTTTTCCTCTCCTCAAAATGCCCTGCACTGACACTGACCCCCCCCCTCTCTCTCTCAGTGACATACCGTAAACAGACAGTTTTCTACAAGAAGGGCCTTTAACATTAAAGAGCTCAGAACTACCAAGGATGCAGATAGAACTTTATGATTCCAGGGGGACGACCTCATCCACACAAAGAGGCACATTACTGAAGCAGACAGCACCTCCAAAAGCAGCACAACACAGATGAGTCCAACATGCAGGACTCACTCTAAATGTGACACATGTGAGTTGATGTGGAAGGAAAACCATATACCATGTTTAAAAGCTCATGAAAGTCAATGTCTCCTCAGCACACTATAATACACAACAGTATAAATGATGTAAAAGCTGTAGGCGTGTTACCTTGACAGAAGCCTTGAGGATGTCCAGGGAGCCGTTGTCGTAGCAGATGGTGCGGCTGGTGTTGGCCATGAGTTTACCGTCAGGGCTCACCCAGTGGGTGATGGGCTCCGGGTCCCCAATGGACTTACAGCGCAGGCTCACCTCCTGACCCTCCATCACAAACATCTTAGACGTGTGACGCGTGATCATGGGAGGCTCACACACAAACTCCTCCTGAAGAACACAACACAGGAGCTATGCTCAATGTGCACTAGAGTATTGTCACAATATTAACATTCCAAACTCAATTTCCATAACATGAGAGTAGGAATAGAATCAATACTCTATTCTGATATATAATAATACTTTTTTTGTACTGATATCTCCTCAAATTATGTCGTTTTGACATTAGTTTGAGTATTGATTCGTATCAGATTTTCCATGCTTCTCATACACAGTGTGGCTATGAGGCTGTGACAGACTGAGATGAATTCTGATGGCAAAGAAAGACACACCAATCACAGAGACATTTGGCTTATTTTAAGGAATTCTCGGTGATCTGCTGCTAAATAATCAATTAATCTACTCCAGCACACAGATAATTTAATCAAAAACACAAATCTATCCATTCACCATCTCCATGTCCCCTGAAACTCTCCTCTCAGCTTATGGCATGTGCAGTCTGTGCATACACCATGTGCAGTCTGTGCATGCATCACTTATACACATAGTATACACCTTGATCTGATCACTAAAGTTGATGATTAGTGGTGATGAATCCATTCATTTATAGCAGCCCTAAAAGAACCTCTTTCGTTACCTCAAGTGGAATAAAGCACCAAGTCCACTGTTGGTGCTTCTAAACTGTCTGTGGTGTTTCACTGTATTATCTACTGTTCCAGACTTTCTTTAGCAACTCCAGGGCAAACTGAACTCTGGAATGGCTGAACCTACTGTGAGGGACTGTGTACAGTAACAGTTAGAAAGTGGCACAGTCTGGTCTCAAACCAGCAACCTCAGGTTTCCCAGATGTGTGATGCTTTTTGCTTGGTGTAAATTTCTCCCTGTAGTCCTCCAGACCCCGCCCTTCTATTCCCCTCACTCTCCCATTTAGTCCTCCAGACCCCGCCCCTTCTCTTCCCCTCACTCTCCCCTTTAGTCCTCCAGACCCCACCCCTTCTATTCCCCTCACTCTCCCCTTTAGTCCTCCAGACCCCACCCCTTCTCTTCCCCTCACTCTCCCCTTTAGTCCTCCAGACCCCGCCCCTTCTCTTCTCCTCACTCTCCCCTTTAGCTCTGTTTGAAATGTGGTTTTGGGTGGAGTTTAGAGTTTCGTCCCAGTGGAGATGTACAGATCAGATGCAGTACAGATGCACAGGCAAACATCCCAGTCTGAGTAAATACCAATTTCAAATCTTCTGTAGATAACAAGTTTGAGCAGTGCAGGAGCCAAAGGTTTTTCACTCCCGCAAACTTTAGTCCACTTGACAGAATTCAATTTTCTTTCCCGATAAACCTGATGCCCTTTCAGGCGTTTATGAGAGGCCGGACTTGCGCATACACACATTTCCTAGTCTTTATGCTTAATACGCAAAATCTGAACAGAATGTCAAATCTCAAACAATAACAACAGAAACACTGGATTCGTCTTTGTTCTGAATATTAAACCCACGTTTGGGAAATGTCTGCTAATGTATGACAAGCACACAGCTGTGAATACATCAGACATGCTCTGAATGTGGTCGCAGACAGGAGGACAGGAGGAGAGGAGGACAGGGGGAGAGGAGGACAGGGGCAGAGGAGGACAGGAGGAGAGGAGGACAGGAGGAGAGGAGGACAGGAGAAGAGGAGGACAGGAGGAGAGGAGGACAGGAGAGGGAGACAGGGAGAGGAGGACAGGAGGAGAGGAGGACAGGGGGAGAGGAGGACAGGGGGAGAGGAGGACAGGAGGAGAGGAGGACAGGGGGAGAGGAGGACAGGGGGAGAGGAGTACAGGAGGAGAGGAGGAGTGGAGGACAGGGGGAGAGGAGGAGAGGAGGACAGGAGGAGAGGAGGAGAGGATGAGAGAAGGAGAGGAGGAGAAGAGGAGGCCGATCCAACAGAAAACACTGTTTGTTTTGGTGTGATTATCAAATCTTAAAAGCTGCAATTATTTGCATAATAGAAAGTCCTCTGTAAAGAACACAATGCAACACAAACACAAAAAAATCCTGTCCATCGTCGAGATCTCTTTCAGATGTTCTGAAATGCCGTCCCTGCATGTCAGATGACCTCCATGGGGTGTTGTTGTGTGTAAAAGGTTAATTCTATTGCAAAATGTTATTGGACTTTCCAAAACAGTGCATCCTTAACATTAAGGTCCACTTTATTAAGAGAAATGTGTCCTCTGCATTTGACCCATCCTTCTGTCAATCACCCTCCTTCCCTTCCCTCCCTCCCTCCCTCCCTCCCATTTATCCTCTCATTCCTCTCGTTCATCTCGTTCCTCTCGTTCCTCTGCCTCCCTTCTACCCATCCTCTCCCTTCTCTCCTCCTCTCTCCCTCCTCTGGGCATGTGGTCCTTTGTGTTGGGCCTCACCTCCCTGATGGTCCAGAAGTACTTCCCAGCCAGGTCTGTGGGGGAGGCGCATGTCTCCAGGTCGTCCTCTCTGGTGAGTCTCCGGAGCCACACCAGCTCACAGTTACAGTGCAGAGGGTTTCCCCCGAAGCTGAGCACCAATGCGCTGAGGGGGGAGCCTTTAGTCTTGGCGTAGACCGGGATGCGCAGGAACAGAGGGTCAGGAGGGATCTTCTTCAGCTTGTTGGAGGTCATGTCCAGACTGTACACACACACACATACACACACACACACACACACGCACACGCACACACACACACACACACACACACACACACACACACACACACACACACACACACACACACACACACACACACAAGCCTTTCACTGTATATACTGTACATTTTTTGATATTTTGGTTCACTGTTCTCAAAATATATACACATATAAGAGGAAGCTGAAACCCATAAACCCAGATTTAATGGTGCACAATGTAACTTTTCTTATAAAGCGTTATTGCTCTGCTCAGATCTGTGCAAGCCTCAGTAAGAATGCAGGTCTCTGCTTTTCTGATATCAGTATCAGAAAAGCAGGTGGCAGATGCCCCACCAGTAAAGTTAGCTAGTCACCCATTTATTGATCTTATAATTTACTGTTTTATTTATCCAGTCAGCAAGCAGAAAGACTCTTATACGACTCTCTTATTTGTGTTCCCAGTTTCAAAGCTGAAATCCAGTGTGTCTAAACTAAAATGTCTCTCTCTGAACTGAATGGTCTCTCTCTAAACCCCAGGCCCTGCACCAGTCATGAGTCAGTGCTAGTGCAGCCTCTGCAGCTCAGGGAGGGAATTCTGGAAGTTCTGAGCTTCATCTGAGACATGTTCTGTCCATAAACTGAGACTGAGACAGTTGGATGTGTCTCTGTGGCATGTGGGTGTAGGCCTGCGGGTGTAGGTCTGTGGGTGGAGGCCTGCGGGTGTAGGTCTGCTGGTGTAGGTCTGTGAGTGTAGGTCTGCTGGTGTAGGCACGTGGGTGTAGGTCTGCTGTTGTAGGCCTGTGGGTGTAGGCCTGTGGGTGTAGGTCTGTGGGTGTAGGTCTGCTGGTGTAGGTCTGTGGGTGTAGGTCTGCTGGTGTAGGTCTGCTGTTGTAGGTCTGTGGGTGTAGGCCTGTGGGTGTAGGTCTGTGGGTGTAGGCCTGTGGGTGTAGGTCTGTGGGTGTAGGCATGTGGGTGTAGGCATGTGGGTGTAGGTCTGATGGTGTAGGTCTCTGGGTGTAGGTGCGTGGATGTAGGTCTGCGGGTGTAGGTGTGTGGGTGTAGGTCTGCGGGTGTAGGTGTGTGGGTGTAGGTGTGTGGGGTGTAGGTGTGAGGGTGTAGGTGTGTGGGTGTAGGTCTGCGGGTGTAGGTGTGTGGGTGTAGGTCTGCGGGTGTAGGTCTGTGGGTGTAGGTGTGTGGGTGTAGATCTGCGGGTGTAGGTGTGTGGGTGTAGGTGTGTGGGTGTAGGTCTGCGGGTGTAGGTGTGTGGGGTGTAGGTCTGCGGGTGTAGGTGTGGGATGTAGGTCTGCGGGTGTAGGTGTGTGGATGTAGGTCTGCGGGTGTAGGTCTGTGGGTGTAGGTCTGCGGGTGTAGGTCTGTGGGTGTAGGTGTGTGGGTGTAGGTGTGTGTGGGTGTAGGTCTGCGGGTGTAGGTGTGTGGGTGTAGGTGTGTGGATGTAGGTCTGTGGGTGTAGGTGTGTGGATGTAGGTCTGCGGGTGTAGGTGTGTGGGTGTAGGTGTGTGGGTGTAGGTCTGCGGGTGTAGGTGTGTGGGTGTAGGTCTGCGGGTGTAGGTGTGTGGGTGTAGGTCTGTGGGTGTAGGGTGTGTGGGTGTAGGTCTGCGGGTGTAGGTGTGTGGATGTAGGTCTGCGGGTGTAGGTGTGTGGATGTAGGTGTGTGGGTGTAGGTGTGTGGGTGTAGGTGTGTGGTGTGTGGGTGTAGGTGTGTGGGTGTGTAGGTCTGTGGGTGTAGGTCTGTGGGTGTAGGTGTGTGGATGTAGGTCTGTGGGTGTAGGTGTGTGGGTGTAGGTGTGTGGGTGTAGGTGTGTAGGTGTAGGTGTGTGGATGTAGGTCTGCGGGTGTAGGTCTGTGGGTGTAGGTCTGTGGGTGGAGGCCTGCGGGGGTAGGTCTGCTGGTGTAGGTGTGTGGATGTAGGTCTGTGGGTGTAGGTGTGTGAGTGTAGGTGTGTGGGTGTAGGTCTGTGGGTGTAGGTCTGCGGGTGTAGGTGTGTGGTGGGTGTAGGTGTGTGAGTGTAGGTGTGTGGGTGTAGGTCTGTGGGTGTAGGTCTGCGGGTGTAGGTGTGTGGGTGTAGGTCTGCGGGTGTAGGTGTGTGTGGGTGTAGGTCTGTGGGTGTAGGTCTGCGGGTGTAGGTGTTTGGGTGTAGGTCTGCGGGTGTAGGTGTGTGGGTGTAGGTCTGTGTGGGTGTAGGTCTGTGGGTGTAGGTCTGCGGGTGTAGGTGTGTGGGTGTAGGTCTGTGGGTGTAGGTCTGTGGGTGTAAGTGTGTGGGTGTAGGTCTGTGGGTGTAGGTCTGCGGGTGTAGGTGTGTGGGTGTAGGTCGTGTGCGGGGTGTAGGTCTGTGGTGTAGGCTGTGGGTGTTAGGTGTGTGTGGGTGTAGGTGTGTGGTGTAGGTGGTGTGGGTGTAGGTGTGTGGGTGTAGGTGGGTGTAGTGGTGTGTGTGGTGTAGGTCTGCGGGTGTAGGTCTGGGTGTAGGTCTGTGGGTGTAGGTGTGTGGGTGTAGGTGTGTGTGGGTGTAGGTCTGCGGGTGTAGGTCTGTGGGTGTAGGTGTGTGGGTGTAGGTGTGTGGGTGTAGGTGCGGGTGTAGGGTGGTGTAGGTGTGTGGGTGTAGGTCTGCGGGTGTAGGTCTGTGGGTGTAGGTGTGTAGGTGTGTGGGTGTAGGTGTGTGGTGTAGGTCTGCGGGTGTAGGTCTGTGGGTGTAGTGTAGGTCTGTGGGTGTAGTGTGTGTGGGTGTAGGTGTGTGGGTGTAGGTCTGCGGGTGTAGGTCTGTGGGTGTAGGTGTGTGGGTGTAGGTCTGTGTGGGTGTAGGTCTGCGGTGTAGGTGTGTGGGTGTAGGTCTGCGGGTGTAGGTGTGTGGGTGTAGGTCTGCGGGTGTAGGTCTGTGGGTGTAGGTGTGTGGGTGTAGGTCTGTGGGTGTAGGTGTGTGGGTGTAGGTCTGTGGGTGTAGGTCTGCGGGTGTAGGTGTGTGGGTGTAGGTCTGTGGGTGTAGGTCTGCGGGTGTAGGTGTGTGGGTGTAGGTCTGTGGGTGTAGGTCTGCGGGTTGTACCGTGCCAGCTTGTGCAGGTTGGAGAAGATGCCCTCAGGGACACTCTCGATGAGGTTGTGGTCCAGACTCAGGGTGTTGACGCTCACCAGCAGAGCGATGGTGTCCCATGGGACCTCCACCAGGTTATTGTAGCTCAGGTCCAGGTCCTCCAGGGTCTCCAAGAAGTCCTGAGCACCACACACACACAGTTTAGTTCTTTGTTCTTAGAGAAAGAATCTGCAGAGAGGAAGACTAGTGTGAGCAGAGCTTTTAGAGGATTTTTCTCAGAATTCCTCCCAACTGTGATACAAGCTAAGAGAAAGAAACCTCTGACCCCCTCACCCCCGTCTCACCCTCTGACCCCTCACCCCTGTCTCACCTCTGACCCCTTCACCCCATCTCACCCTCTGACCCCTTCACCTCGTCTCACCCTCTGACCCCTCACCCCTATCTCACCCTCTGACCCCCTCACTTTTGTCTCACTCTCTGACCCCTTCACCTGCGTCTCATCTCTGACCCCTTCACCTCGTCTCACCCTCTGACCCCCTCACCCCCATCTCACTCTCTGACCCCCTCACCCCCATCTCACTCTCTGACCCCCTCACCCCCGTCTCACTCTCTGACCCCCTCACCCCGTCTCACCCTTTGACCCCCTCACCCCAGTCTCACCCTTTGACCCCCTCACCCCCGTCTCACTCTCTGACCCCCTCACCCCCGTCTCACCCTTTGACCCCCTCACTCCCGTCTCACCCTTTGACCCCCTCACCCCCATCTCACCCTCTGACCCCCTCACCCCCATCTCACTCTCTGACCCCCTCACCCCATCTCACTCTCTGACCCCCTCACCCCCGTCTCACTCTCTGACCCCCTCACCCCCGTCTCACCCTTTGACCTCCTCACCCCCGTCTCACTCTCTGACCCCCTCACCCCCGTCTCACTCTCTGACCCCCTCACCCCCGTCTCACCCTTTGACCCCCTCACTCCCGTCTCACCCTTTGACCCCCTCACCCCCATCTCACTCTCTGACCCCCTCACCCCCGTCTCACCCTTTAACCCCCTCACCCCCATCTCACTCTCTGACCCCCTCACCCCTGTCTCACCCTTTGACCCCCTCACCCCCATCTCACTCTCTGACCCCCTCACCCCCGTCTCACTCTCTGACCCCCACACCCCCATCTCACCCTTTGACCCCCTCATCCCCGTCTCACTCTCTGACCCCCACACTGACTTTTGTTTCCCCCTCCCTCACCTCTTCCTGTTACCCCCCTCCCTGTGAAGCTAAATGATCTCAGATGTAGCCAGGAACAACAGGAGCATATGTGAGCCAACTGAATAAAAGCTCATTTCCATGTATCATGTTCTTACAAGAGAAATGATGGTTTTAATAAGATAATTTAATTAGTGTGAAATCACATTTTAGTGTGTTAAAATATTATTATGAAACTACAAGTGACTACAACAAGAATGTGAACACTTTTTCGACTTTGATAAGTACAATATTAGATTGTGAACACAAATGAAAGGAAATTGAGAGTGTTATTGGCACTGTCAGCACACTGCACAGAGAGCTGCAGGTTCAATCCTCGGTCACCATGGTCCTTCTAGTTGTAAAAGTCAGAGCTGCTTCTTTCAGTCTTACAGATTCTTTTTTATTTCTGAACCTTTATTTTACACATTCTTGGTGTTCAGGAGGCCTGTACATGTGAAAATTTACTAAACATTTTGTACTAAATGTACTAAACTAAACATGAAATCCACTTTTTTGCTGCCAATCTGTGCATATGCTGTTTTAACATCATCATCTATTGTCCTTTTGCTATTTTAATGCCAACTATGCAAATGTGCAGCTTTGTGTCAAGAAGTGTGTCCTGCCTCCAGCGGACTTTACGATTTCAAGTACTACGTGACATCACAGAGGACTCATTCTCCCCTTAATCCTCCAGATCCCTGCTCCCCCTCACTCCCCCTTCAGTCCTCCAGGTACAGCCCAGTTTGTCAGCTCTATTTGAAATGAAGTTGTGGGAAATGTGGCTGGGGGAGCCCTGCTCACACCCCAGAGGCCTGCTCACCTGGAAGGCCCCCTCGGAGATGCTCTGGAGCTGGTTGTTGGCCAGGATAAGGTGGCGCAGGTTGACTAGTCCCTGAAAGTGTGAGTCATCCAGGCTGGTGAGGCGGTTGGCGTCCAGGTGCAGCGCGTGGAGCTCCTGGAGGTCAGCAAACGTGTAGGGCCAGATCTGACTGATGGTGTTCCTGCTCAGGGTCAGGTGGATCTGCACAGACACCACACACACCGTGAACAAGCACAGGAGACAGAGAAGGAAGCAAGCAAGCAAGAGGGCGAGAGAGATTGAAATGAAACACGGAAATTGTCCTCGAACCTAAACTGTCTGTGGCAACAGTTTAATCACTGTTTGCGTTACATCTCAGGAGCTAGGTACCACAGTGGACCAGCAGTGGTTCTGGCACTCTAATATTATCCCAAAGGTTGGTGGTTTGAACCCTGCTCAGACCAGAGCGTTCTGTCCATGGGCAAGACACCTTGCCTCCACTTTTGTACACTAGGCTATGAATAAAGATAGATTTGTGGAATCTCATGGAGCTTGTGCACTTGTGGACAGAATTATCAGCTTTTTAATGCACTTTTCACATAAAGTTATAGATGTTTCATAATTCTGTGAATACTAAAATGAATAATATTTTGACAACAGGAAAAAAAAAAAAGTATTCCCACATTTTTCCCCAATTGTCACTTGCCCTCATTCCTTTCAGATGCTCTGCCCTATGTAAGAGCAATACTTTCATTAGAGATAGACCGATATATCGGCCGATAGTTCGTTTTTTCAGCGCATCTGCCACACAGGCTGCTATTTGTGGCTGAAGCTTTTAAGTACAAAGAGATAACTGCTGTAAATGTGACACACATCTCTGGTAAGGCTTGTGGTTAACAGGGCAGTTTGTAGTAAACGTAAACAACACAACTGGGGGAAAATTATCAAAATTGGTCGTACATATCAGCTCCTCTGGTTTCTAAGCAGTCGGTGTCAGGATCAGTCTTGAACAAGCCATATCGGTCTATCTCTAATTTTCATATGTTTAATTCACAAAGATCCTTGTTGGCCTGTGGACCTGAGCACAGACCAAGAAGCCTGTGGTCAAAGGGTTAGTGGTACGATCCCCACACATGTCTGCATACTAGACTTGTAGTCTATCATATCATGTGTACACTGTGTACACGTGAGCCAGGAGGTGGCAGAGGGCAGGACTGACCAGGCTGGACATGTTGGCGAAGTCGCGGTGGCGCAGTGTGGTGATGAAGTTGTCCATGAGGCGTAGTTCAGCCGTCTGCCGGTCCACGTTGGGCGGCACAAACAGGAGGCCCGTGTTGGCGCAGAGCACGGTGTAGGAGGGCATCAGGTTCTGGCAGGTGCAGCGCTTGGGGCACAGCGCCGTGGGGCCAGCAGGGGGCAGCAGCAGCAGGAGTCCGCACACGAGCAGCCGCAGCAACATGGCTTCTGTGAGAAGAAGGGCAGATGGGCTCAGTGTGGAGATGGACACGTATCAAAGGCTAACGCTAAGGCTAAGCTAACGTGGCTAAGCTACGTGCCTTGGGTGGGGTCCAGGCCATTGTTTACCCAGAGCTAGCTGCAGTGCTAGCACAGAGCGGCTCTCATCAGGAGGCTCCACACACTCACACAGCCAACGTCTGCTCAAGTCACATTAAAGGGAATGTATTAAAGCAAAATCAGGTTTGATTTGACAGCTTTGAACCAGACACTTTGTGTTTAGTAGTCTACAGTACACCTCCGAATCATTTATGTAGACGAGATGTGCAGCCACGTCACAATGGAACAATAAAAGATGAAAATGTAAGTAGTAAGTTGAGAGAAATACCAAATACTAAGCTTTATGTGCTCATTAAAGTAAGCATATTATCTTGACTATTCCTGTCTAGTATTTAAAAATTCTTTTGGTCTCTTAGCATATCCACACTTCTCCAACAGGCTCTGTTCACGCCTATGTCACAAACCAGGAAGACGTTTGGAAACATGTGATGACAACTTCCGGTGTTGTTCCCAAAACTGGGCTCACTGACCAACTGTGATCAAACCCACTGAAGTCAGTGGTCAGTGGTCAAATGAAGACTGCAGACCTATGTGCTGTTTGGAATCATCTGGAATTTGGCCTCGTCTCTTCTAATCACATGTACCAGTGCACTTGGAGTTGTGTGTCAGTGGGAAATGATGAAAACTGAGGTGTGGTTGGACTTGCTGATTCACCAAACATAACAGATACAATACAATAACATGGAGATGAAAAAAAACTGGGACATTTTCTCATTTTTCTTCCCTCCGGAAGTTGTCATTGCATGTTTCCAAACGTCCTGTGCCAACATGTGAGCCTGGCCACCGGTGAATGAGTATGATTGACAGGTGGATTAGCCAATCAACCATTGGTATCACAAATAATATCACAGGGGACAGAAAAACGTGGGGTTTCTGGAGAATCAATGAAGCATTAAACCAATGAGTTCCTTCACTTCACACGTGTCACTGAAATCTGATTTCTCTTTCTCTCTTCATTTTTATTTCACATTTTTCCACTTTAAAGGTCCACTGTGTTTGTGTGTGTGTGTGTTTTCTGGGGTATGCCATCTCCATAGAACCTGCACTCACTGTAGGAATGCATGTTCTCTGTGCATTTCCCTATATGTCCCCTACAAACGCTACTGACACATGATCAGAATGTGTGCTGAAGTTGTCTGGATTTTAAAAACACAGAGGAGCCACAGGGGACGCTTTAAGCTGAGAAGAGGGAGACATGAAAAAGTCTAATATGATACAGTAATAATAATAATAGTACTGATGAGTTTAACAGTATGTGCATGTGTGTCTGGAGGAGTCCTGATCGAAGAGGGACTCCAAGGGCCCAGAGGGACACACTCGGAGGAGATTATTAGTGAAATGTGTGAAGAAAACACTGCACAGCTCCAGGTGTCTGGTGGGAAATAACACTACGCAGTAGTACAAGTCAAAAGTCTATTTCAGCCTTGTTCATTTACACCTGGACATTTTAGACTTAGACAGACTTTATTAATCCACAAGAGAAATAATTTGAGCACAAGACTCACACATCACAATATAATAGAATAACAAACAGAAAAAATATAAATGCTAATAATGAATTCTAAATAAAAAGCAAAAAAAGAGCAAGAGGCAAGTGTGAAATAAGACATCATTATATAAATGTAAATATACAAGTCAAAATAAAATAGAAAAATAAGTAATAAAATAAAATCTCTGCTTTATACAAGAGGTCACAGGAAGAACAAGCAACAATGATGTGATGATTGTTCCATAAGGGTGAGTTGTTGTACAGTTGTAGGGAGTATTATCTGTCCCTCTATAGCAGGCATGTCCAAACTATGACCCAGGGGCCAAATGTGGCTCTCAGAGAAATTTTTCTTGGCCCTCAGACTTCCAGGTGAATTGGCCCAAATTACCTTGCTTCAATTAAAAAATCATTTTTATAACTGCAATTTTTTTGAAAATCTACCTCGATAAAACTAATATTTAATATTTACTTTGTGGTTTTAAGGATATAGAGAATAAAGAATAATAAAGTTCATTCTAATGTGTTAAACCAGCACATATTTCAATTATTCACTGTATTGAGCACCAGTCTTCAGCCCTCCATCAGCCCTCTGCTTCGTCTGTGTTTAGATATGTGACCCTTGATGAAAAAAGTTTGGACACCCCTGCTCTATAGTTTGGTGCAGGGGTGAATTGTTGCACAGTTGTAGGGAGTATTATTTGTCCCTCTATAGTCTGGGAAGTTTGTCCAGTGTCCTCATGTCCCTCACTGTCACAAATGTCTCTAAATGTTTTGGGGCTCGCGCTGATCCAATGTAAACAGCCAGACTGGGTTTGAGGGGAGGGTGTGTGTGCTCAGTGTGTATCATACTGTTACATCAGTTCATTGGCAGTGTGTGGAGAAAACTGAAAAGTACAAAAATACAGAAGTAGTGCGGAGTTGTAAAACAGGACCCTGCCTCGGTCATCAACACTGAAACTCCATCCAAAATGCAGCCAGTATTTACACACAAGAAAGGACTTTATCTGTTCAGACACAAAAGAAAAGTCTTTCCTGTTACTTGAAATATGGTGTAACTGTGGTTAAAAGCCCAGTACCCAATTTTGTCCCATGTGTTTGAGGAAAATGAGTCTTGCCCCAGTACAGATGTGTTGTATAAACAGCTCCAGAGGTCCAAATAAATCTTCTGTGTACTTCTCTGCATCAGATTATAAAGTGTGTGTTTGCATGCTAGTTGCTGTTCCCTCAACCTTCACAACGTAACTCCACCTATAATTCAGATGCTCAGAATGCATAAAGTAAGTGAGTGTGTATACATGCACATCGGTATCCCAGTTGTGATCGGGTTTTTAGAGTATCCCTGTTTCTTCATGGTGCATGTAAACGCAGTACAGTATCCCGGTTTCAGTATCCCGGTTATTAGTAGCTGGTATATTCCGATAGTAACCGGGATATTGTGGCTTGTACATGCAGTATCCCGGATACTGCAACATAAAGTTGAGTCACATGTGTCCAAAAGACAAACACAGTAGTGACATAAATAAAGGGACCAACATAAATAAAGTGGCCGACATAAATAAAGTGATCATACATGAGTGAAAGGACTGTAAAATAAAGAGCTGCGCTAAACCTGCACACGTACAATCTGCACTCGTATGACCTGCACACGTATGATCGCTGAAAAGCTAAAACATGAACTATCTCCAACATGATATATGTACAGAACAGACTCACCATCATTAGCACCTCTTCTGTCATAAAAAGAACACACATAATCCACTGAGTCGTGTCCTTTAGTCCAAAAGAAGCTGAACCGCATCAGAGGCACAAGGAGCAGCTGTTTTTATCACTGCTAACAGTTTATGCAAATTAGCCATGTGGTTTTAAGTTTCGTTTCTATAAAACATAAACAAATGTGATCAAAGCTGAATTATCTGATCAAACCTGCTGATGTGTCTAAAGTGGTTCTGGTTTATATGTTGTAAAGCTGAGTTTATTTATGCAGAAGATTTAATGAAGAATCTGTTGGGTTTTTTCAGTGGATTGTGGGAGATCTCATAGCTCCTCACGCTGGTTAAACCTCCCGAGCTTCCGACGCTAAAATGGTTTGCTCATAGTTTGTGTTTTTCCTGGTTTATTAAATTGATTTAAGTAAATTTTTGTGTTTGCACATTTGTAAGATTATGTCAAGAAACCTGGATACTCCACATGTCACAGGGACATGAGTGTCTCGGTTTCTCAGTGCACATGTACACGCAGTAACCCCAGTACTGACAGAACCGGGATATGGCTAATAACCGAGATACTGGAGTGCATGTAAACGCATTCAGTAGTGAGGAAGAACTTTGGAACACTGCAAACTGTACAATGAAGACGTTCTGTTTTATTGAAGACTCTAAAAATGGGGCACAGTGTCTTGAGCACAGAGAGCTCCAGGAGCTGCTGGTGCGTGGAAACGTTCACTCATCATTTTAATGTGATCTCTGAGTCTGGAAGCAGAACTTGAGCTGTTGTATTATGGGAAGTCCGGGCTGTATCATGGGTCTGGCTCTATTAATGAGTCTGTTTCCAAACACTAACTACATGCACACTGTCAGCGTTTCCATGGGAGAGGAAGATTAAAGCAAGTGAACCAGATGCCCCGTCAGCACAGAACAACACTCACGGCTCACATGACACAACTGTAGGCTGCAGCTAACAGGTAGGACTAACACTGCAACATCTAAACCTGGAGAATCTGTGTGTCATTCATTCGTTCATTTTTCAAAATAAAACCAAAAATAAGAAAATGATGAAATAACTGTTTTCTTCATTATTTGTCTCCAAAACCAAAATGAAAAAAAAAAAAAACAGATAATGATTTGTTTTTTTCAGTTTTTAATTTGAAAATGAAAAATGGAAAAAGTCTTAGTCCTGGTCTCTGTCCTGGTCTGGTCCCGATCTGGTCCTGTTCTCGGTCCTGTCTCAGTTCCGGTCTGGTCCCGGCCTGGTCCTGATCTGGTCCTGGCCTGGTCCCGGTCTCAGTCCCGCTCTGGTCCCGGTCTGGTCTCAGTCTCAGTCCCGATCTGGTCCTGCTCTGGTCCTGGTCTCAGTCTCGGCCTGGTTCCGATCTGGTCCCGGACTCAGTCCCACTCTGGTCCCACTCTGGTCCCGGTCTGGTCCCGGTCTGGTCCCGGACCTGGATCAGTCCTGGTTCAGTCTGTATGCGGTGCAAAAGTCCGGCATCTCAGTCATGGAAGTCACGTAAACGGCCCTTATCCGTTTTTTTTTTTTCATTTTGGTTTTGGAGACAAATAATGAAGAAAACAGTTGTTTTTTTGTTTTCTTATTTTTGGTTTTATACTGAAAAACGAATGAACGAATGATACACAGATTGTGTAAGACTATTATCTAATTGATATTAGACTAGTATTGAAACTAGATACTCATTTGTGCAGGTATTGGTGCTAAAAAGTCACATAAATGAACCTGAATGTCTTTAGAACAGGGCTCTCCAACCTTTTTCCTCCTGTGTTTAGCAGTCACCAGAAATGT